ACAAGGTTTTGGTACCTGTTGGTCTTTTGAACCGGTACTGAGGCGTTTGGGGAAAGACTTTAGAGGCCACCCTAGCAACAAGTAAAAAAAGCAGTCAGACTTCTTTACCTCATGAAAATTCGCCTTTCCGGCCAAAATGGAGGAGCTCAACCGGTCTATTTGACCGTTGCTAGGGCGATCTTCAAATCCCATCTTCTAAGAATACACATCAAAGCTTGGAGAATACCTAAGAATTACGACAGCATTATGAAACACCTTGTTTCTCTGTTCTGTGTCATGACCTATAACATGAGGAAAGTGAAAGTCGCCTAACGGAGTTTCAGAGCTCCGAAAGATCAGAGTCCCTCCATGCAAGTCTTTTTTAGCAGGATATTCATGTAACCTTTGTTGCATGAAATATATTATTATTATTATAAGCAGATTTAGAAGACAGCTACAGCATTTTTCCCCACAGAGGTGACAGGTTATTCGTCTCCAAGGATTGGAATGCTACCGACACAGAATAGTTGTGAAAGGCGCCTCACAGAGATGGTCATGACCTAAATTTTCGTTGGTCAGCTGCTCTTTGCGTTCCTGCAAACACGTCAATAGAAGAGCTGTGCCCTGACTCAACGTTGTAATGTGATTCGTCCAAGCATTGATGGTTCTTGAGACCACCTTTTACCCCAAAATGAGGTTCTGAGAAGTGTATGCAGGTTAGTTACGTCAGGGGCAAACGTACGTGACAAAATTTTGTCCTCTAGTTGACCCTCTCAGGTTACCAGGTAGGTGGAATTACATGCAGTGCAGAGAAGCATAAAGTTAGGACTCAGGATGAATATGTAAATCGTTTGTTCGAGCCGTTCCAAAATTGAAGGCTGCAAAAGATATGTAACAACTAAGCTTCGTTTGCCGACTCGGATGTTGAGTCTGTTGCATACACTTGTTGTTGCGTCTCTGTTCAATTCCCTCCACACTGGTGCTACGATGGTAGGAAAGTGAGGTTGAGATTCAAGATGCGAGTGATCTTGAGTATTCCCTCTCACATGAACATGGAACCTCGGGATGCAAGTCCCTACTGAATAACACCTTAGGATTTGTCCCGGTGCGAACTTGACAGACGCAAAGACAAATCACTAATTATTCGAACTTGTTATATACCCACGAATACGAGACCAAGGAAGAACACGAAAGCGTAGTCGGATGGAATAGTATATTTGGATGGTTATGCCAAAATACCGATGCGTTCCAACTAACTGGCTAGAGAGTCGAATACGAGCAATGCAACGTAACACGACAGCGTGCCAAATGGCGAGGATGCTTGACCGGGTGCCTTCAGCTTAGCGAGTCCAGTTAACTATCAAGGTCAGCATCAATGTCGAAAGTCGTCAAACCCTAGGCTATTGATTTTGGGGAAGTATGTAACGCTACAGATCACTCCCCCCTAGTGGGTTCGTGAGGACCCTAAGACGATACCAGCCGGAAGTAAAAACCCAGTGGTTTCTCCACTGGTAAAACTCTTCCGATGGGCTCACTGCGTGAAGTGGCCCCTGGTTGTCTGAACTTATTCTAGGGTGTCGTGGCGATTAAATAACAAAATACAATAAATCGAATTGTACGTCGATCGCGGTCCCCAGTTCCTTTCGACGTTCCGTCCAGTGCTCGTTGCACCTGGAATATAAATAAAAGTCTTTAATACCACGAAAACGTTTCGTAAAAATGGGAGTTATTTATATATTAACATATCGAAAAATAAAAATTTACGCTTATCTTCGCCGTTTTTTTGAAGTTTCATTACATGGTAAATAAAAATTGATATAAAAAAAAGGCAAAGTGTACGAGGGTTTGTATTGAGGTATCGGGTAGCAGTCCGGAGTTGTTTTGGCGTTAAGCCTTCGGTAATCACCGGTTGGACGCCAGTCGTTGCTATCCTTTTTGGGAACCATGTGCAATGGCGATGCCCAAGGACTGTTTGACGGTCTGATAATGCCCAGTTCGAGCATGTGGTCGAATTCATTTTTCGCCGTTTGAGCTTATCGGGGGCTAAACGGCGCGCTTTGGATGCCACAGGTGGACCTGTGGTTGTGACGTGATGCATAACATTGCTGGTTATGCACGGAAGAGTGTGCTTCGGTTGTCGCAACTCTGGATATTTCTCCAAAACTGCCTGGTAGGACGCGTCGCCTGATTGTTTAGTCCTAACGATGGCTAAACTCGGACCTACATAGGTGGTGCCGCCAATAGATAACTTTGTGTTGTTATCTATCAGTCGTCGACGGCGAGCATCTACGAGTAGATCGTAATGGTTTAGCAAATCTATGCCAATGATGGGCATAGAGACGTCAGCAAGGAGGAAGATCCAGTGGATAGGTTTGCGTAAACCTAAGTTGAGGTAGGCATACCGTCTCCCGAATGTCGCGATTGCCTTGCCGTTGGCTGCTTGAAGATTGAAGGATGGGTCAAGATGACGCTCCTTTGTCGTTGCTGGAAGAACGCTAACTTCTGCGCCGGTGTCGACGAGGTAGCGGACTTTCGTTTTAATGTCGGTGACGTAGAGCAAACGGCTTTTTCCGCCGGCTACGGTTGCCGTGAGCACGTGCCGGCGTGACCGTTTCCCGAGTTTGTGTCCTTCTTAAAACGGCATGGTTTACGACATTTTCTGGCTTCATCCCCGTAAGTGTTATGAAACCAGCACCATTCAGGGTTTTCCACCCTGTTGGGTTTCGTTTTAGGGCTACCACGCGACTTGCTGCGATGCGCCAAGGTGCGTTTCTGTGAAGTGCTACGTGATCTAGGACTTCGAGATCGTAGCAACCGTTTCACAGAGTTGCACAACTTGGTCACCTCTGAATCCTGGCGCTCTGGTTTGTCGCAGATAGAATATACGTTGGAGACGGGTCTGCTGGATATCTCCAGTATTTTATCTGCTGAGGCTGCCAGGTCGTCGAGTGGGACTGACTGCAGTGTCACCAACACGGTTTGCACCGGTTGTGGTAGTTTCGAGAGAAATAGTTCTCGGAAGAAACCATCGTCAAATGTTCGTGCACCGATTACTTCTCGCATGCGTGCGAGGACTTCAGTAGCTGAGTGGCTGCCTAGCTCGATGTTACGAAGCAATTCGTCTAGACGTTGGCGATCTGTGAGATCGCTTTTCTTCAAGAGTGCGGCCTTTAGAAGTGCATAAGGGTCACTTACTTCAGGATTAAACATGTTTGCTGTAACATACCTGTTTAATTCTCGCGGTAGTGACCGTATGACAGCAAGAAATCGAGATGAGGATCTGAGACACCCTGTTCTCGAAAATCGGCCTCGGCATACAGAAACCATGTTTCTGCATTGTCTGGCCAATATGGCACGAGTTGGATCGTGTTCGAGTCGGCTTAATACGAATAAGCTTGGGAGTGTGGTCGGACATGAGAAAGTGTAGTAAATGGATATATAAATGTTATCGAAATGAAAACAATAAACAAATATAAAATGGAACAGGCTCACCAATTCAATACTTGTTATTGGTCGGGATATGTGATCACGTCGGGCTCACCAATTTAGGATTTGTCCTGGTGCGAACTTGACAGACGCAAAGACCAATCACTAATTATTCGAACTTGTTATATACCCACGAATACGAGACCAAGGAAGAACACGATAGCGTAGTCGGATGGAATAGTATATTTGGATGGTTATGCCAAAATACCGATGCGTTCCAACTAACTGGCTAGAGAGTCGAATACGAGCAATGCAACGTAACACGACAGCGTGCCAAATGGCGAGGATGCTTGACCGGGTGCCTTCAGCTTAGCGAGTCCAGTTAAACTATCAAGGTCAGCATCAATGTCGAAAGTCGTCAAACCCTAGGCTATTGATTTTGGGGAAGTATGTGACGCTACAACACCTATGAGAATGCAATGCACAAATAAGAAAATGAACAATCTCCGCAGTTCTTTTCACTAGTAACTAGATAGACAGACAAGGAAGCCAAACACTAATTCTTATCACTCATCAAATATACAAGAATTTTAAATCAAGAAATAACACACCAGGGTTGCAGGGTATCTGCAGAATCTCCAAGAAATACCGAAATGTATTAGCCAGCTGACTAGTGGATCGTGGATGATTAACGCAATGTTTAGGAACACAACCTGTCGAAAGGCGTGAATGCTTGGCTGTGTAAATTTAGCCTTACAGGTCCGTTAGAACCATGGTGATCTGAATCGATGCTTAATATCATCTAGCCTTCGAGTACTGATTTTAGGGAATAATTTGCTGCCAAAACCTATTTCTTCCAGATTATAGTGGGGAAACGTCCACCGAAGGTTTTCGAATCCTATGGTGTCCACATAAATTCTTTGGGCTGAGTTGTAAATCAGCAAACCCCTCTTCAGGCTCTAGGGTCATATGGACCTTCTGCAGCCAATTCGAAGGTTGGGTTGGATCGCCAGGGCATTGCAAACGTAGAAGGATTCATTTCAAATGGTCGTTGACAGAATAGAAGCTTTCGCTTAACTGACTTCCGCTCCTACAATCCGTGGGTTACTGCTCCTTGTGGTTGTTAACGTGTGTCTAAGTAAAGAAAGAGGAAAGTATGCCGGTTAAAATGTGAAAGTTCAATTAGTTTTCGGGCAGGTCCCAGACCCACGTTAAGTGGGTATCCAGTCAGCGTTTCACTGTCTCACTAACACTTTTTTTAAGCACCCACGGGAGATCTTTACTACCACTTGGATGAGATCAGACTCACATATGATATGGAAGAATTATTACTGTCCAACCTTCAGTGTATTCATGAAGAAAGTTGACAACCAAGGGACTTTGGATAGTGAAAATTGTCAGTTTTGGTACTTAAGATTGATATTTCTGTTGATTTGTCGGCGCATGGGTTTGCTCACCGTCACAATTTCGACTTCAACACAGTTGTCTCTCACGAAATGCCCTTATAACATTGGTTTAACATCCTTTCTTAGTTTCACCATGTAGTTGTTTGAGTGCTTCGCGAAGGTATGTGATACTTGGCCGCATGGCGGAATATTGCGTTTAGTTTAGGTGGTTGGTCAGTAACAGTGATGTAACGATGGTGTGAATTCCATGTGATATGTCTAGTATGAGTCAGTTGATTAGTCCCAATGATGCTTCACTCGAGCACTGCTTCACGAATATTTTTGCACTGGTACGTATTCAAGCTGTATTTTTTTTTCAAAATTTGTATTTCTTTTATGATTTAATTCTGACATTATTTTTTTTCTGCAGACTGATTTTAGCGGTATACAGTACCAAAAATATATTCTTCATACCCCAAAGGAATATCATGATCCACTGAGTGATCCTATTATAAAGTCGTATGCACTTTGTCAGAAAAATGGTGTTCTTTCTGCGTGGGTGCGTTCCAAACCAGAGGCATCAGACTTCTCAGATCCATGTGCTTTCTCCAAGTTTTCGAAAGAGTTGTGGGTTTTTTGGTATGGTAATGATGACTTCCCAAATACTGAAAGCTGTATCCTCCCTGAGCTCCGCAAGGAAGATCATGGAAATTGGCGTCAAGGATTATCATACGAAACAAGAACTGTCCTGTTCCGAGCGTTGCATAACGTTGTTGAAAGGTTGGTGTACGAATTCATTTACTTATTTCTGAAGATGTTTGCTCACCAAAGGTTTTGTACGTTTGGGAAAGTGGTTTGTACAGCCCCGAAAATTCGGTTCCAGCGATGACTAGTAAGACTAAACCATTAGTGTTTAATACTTTTCAGTGTGCAGTACAGTGTCAGCTTTTCGTTTTTTCTACATGGAGAGAGTACGGTGTGTGCAAGCTTAGATATCCGTCAACATACTGCTGTACAAAGAATCAGTGCCGACCACATCCAGAAGTGTTTTTCAACTCAGACCACCATACCTGGTATGTTTTTTTTCGAGCGTTGGTGTTTATTATGATAGTACCAAATACGAAACATAGTGACCCCGAACCAGTGACTTCCCACATGACCTAAACCAAACAGTCAAACTTGAGTAGCGTTCACCAACCACATTCACAACAATAAACAACGTTCACATACTTTCAGTTGTCTTTACTGGGTTACCTTCATAATACCATGACTTTTAGAATTTAAAAATCCAATTACTGTAATACATAAGATTTCAATCGGTTTCCTGTTTCATCTTGAAGTGGATCACCTCGGTGAGTGCATGATAAGTAGGATAAATTACGTCCGTCTACGTTCCTGTTAGAAATGTGCTTTTCTACACGAACCTACATCTCCAACATGTCATTATTATCCTTTCATACCTGATTGGTCAGCACCTGCTGATTCTATTTGGTTTAAGTCCAATTTTCAGACCATTGGCTTGGGGTCACAGTACTCTATCCTTACTATGACGGTTTGCCTGGCTGTTTAATACTAATAATAAAACTACTTCTCTCGGTGTTATATTGTTTTGCTGAGAGTTGGGTATTACTGCAGGACTTGTCAAGTTTTACGTATCTGTTGGTTAAGTTCCATACTTGGAAGACATGAGAAGGCTTCAAGTGTTTAACCACTGTTGCCTTCGTAGTATAAGCCGTTTTCCGTGGTGTCACCATGTGAGTAATGCAGAAGTCAGGTGGAGAGTTTTAGGGAGAAGAGGTAAACCAGTTGAGGAGGTTATGAACCTTCATTGACTGAGATGGTTGGGACACGTGTTACGTATGCCTAGAAACCGATTGAGCCGTCACACAATGCTGGCTGAAGTAGGCTCAAGCTGGAGAAAGGCCTGTGGCGGCCTGACTAAAACATGATATCAATGTATGAAGTCTCTGACTGTTGGTTTGAGCTATGTGGGGTGATGTAGACTAGCCTGTTGGGGTCCGCGGGACAAGAGGAATCAATGATTGAAGACTGACTCTAAGTGATATGGTCCAGAACCCATGTCAGTGGCGCAGATGCATACACACATTATCCTCATCTTAACGACGCTATACCGAATCTCACCATTTTTTCATTCTTCCTTTCTCTCTTTTAGTACTTTGTATTTCTTTTGGCTGAATTTTCTTATCTTCATCTTGCACCTCACTACCTTTTTACTTGATGTACTAATATGAGCTGTGGCAACTCGGATCGTTACGCGGTAATGCCTGGTCCTATGTTGATATTGATGATGATGATACTTAGTTTTACATGATTAGAAAGGATAGTGAAACATGCATAACTGTAAAGGGGCATACTTGATTTCTATGTCCATATACTGGGAGAGTAGTTCACTCGTTTGTAGAGTATTGCCCATCGGGAATTTGCCAATTAGACTGAACCATTTTTCTTTGTTCCGTATCTTATTTATTTAATAGTCCGTCTTTGGCTCTTCGCTGCCATTGATATCCTTCTTCCTTTGTTTTTTTCCTGACGTACTGGAGCTCGACTAAGACATCACAGCATTCCAAGTAAACTTAACTTTAAGTGTTACTTAATCTAACAACTTTTTTACGTGAATTAATTTTGCTAGTCTTCCTGATAACGTGGTTACTGGTGGTTCAATCTGTCATACTACTCACCATCTTCATTCTAGAAATGATCCAATAGATGACCTCGTTGGATTGATTGGTTTTAAAGGAATAACACGTTTTTCAACAACAATACTTGTCATTCTGTTGTGTATTTAGCGTTTATTTACACTGGAACTGCTCCCCTCGGAGTCTTTCGAAATGACATAATGGTTAAGCGTTTTTAGCGTAAGATTATCCCCTCGAATGACTATCAGTTTACGACTAAACGTGTAACATTAGTATCAATGTTCTGTAAATATGCTGTAAATGATGTTCCTGGCAACGTTGTGTCCGGCACTCATAAGTTAAGGTTGATAAGCTGCACTGAGGAAAACTTGGCTAAGCGACCATCAGTGGTTCGTAATAAATTAATGCTCGAAATAAATTGGTACGGAATATAGAATGCGAACTGGTCTTACAACCTATCACCTCATTATCCATTCACTCTTACTGTCTTATAACAGCAACCAAACAGCTCGACATTTCTGTGTATGGGTCACTTTAAAAGCTGAACACCTCATGAGTACCTTCACATGTCTGGACACTGTTTTACAATATCTGACCGTGGGAAGCAAGTGGTTGGACGCGTTAATCACTTCATGTAACTGTGAAGTTGCGCCTATCTTGATACTGGGGAGATATTCAATCATCCATCCGATGTCTAATGTGACCTAGATTTTCGTTTTAAACAAACTATCGGGTGTATTGTGTAGAGGCATTCTTATATCCCCTGCCTTTCATGACTGCGCTTCACAATCGCACAGGACAAACTGCACCGGGGTACACTCCACTCTTAAAAAGGTGGTCGGGTATTGCGTGGGCACCCTGATTGGCATAATTTGGTGAACATATTTTGTATCCGTTCAAGGATTTCGTCGATAACTTACTTACTAGGCCTCATCTCAGACAGGTAGCGTGGTCAAAGCACTCTAGCGCTTCATTGCTCATAGCTAAATAAGTTATCAGTGAGCACTAGTCCTGATGAAACTGGATTTGGATGGTGAGAAATGGATCTCAAACATACTCAAATTGCAGGATTGACGATTAGAATAACTAGGATTACCTAACCAACAGAAATGAAATGTGATCCCTTCTGGTTGAGCTCAGTGCCCTTTTGTCCCACTCTTGGAGTAGCGCAAGAAATCTTGTGATAAACACTGGGAGTCAACGTGACAAACCTATCATGCTTGTCCACCATCTGTACTGTTGAGTAATGTTAAGACAAGTGGGCTCAATATGTGATGCGGCCAAAGATGGGTAGGCCAAAACATACCATTAGTCTATGAAGTTGATTGTTGGTGCGAGCCGTGTAGCAGAATGTAGACATTGGTTGGCATCCGCGTGACCACCGAGATCGATGTTCGGTGACCCTAGTTGATATGTCTGAGAATGGATCATAGTGGCGCAGACATCTGCACAATTCGTTCACCTTGATCGTCATATCGTATTTCACTATTTTTCATTCTGTTTTACTACCTTTTACCATTCTTGACTACTTTCTGTTTTATTTCTCTATCCTTCATCGTGAAGCGTTTTCATTTGGTGTGGTGATATGAAGTGCAGCAAATCAGACTGTTACGAAGTTATGCGAAGTCGCTTGAGTTTGTTTGGTTGACTGACTGAAGTCATCTGCTGGTATTTCTACAGGCAGGTGACAGCAGTCAAAACAGATCAAAACCCTTTTCAATGATAAATGTGCACGAATTTATGAATTTGGAGCTCATTGGTTTAGGCATTCACTTTTTAATCTTTTAGTTTCACCTGGGAAACCAAGTAATATAATTAGTCCGCAAAAGAACTACAGCTCATATACACGTACAACTTTAATGGTCACGTAGCTTTACGCACTTGTTCTGCTACCCCCTAAGGTTACTCTGTCACATTTCGCACTTGTTGCGATTTTCACGCCCTACGTTTTTTGCATTTTATTGTATAGCGTATTGAACGTATAAATATCCTAGATATTGAAACTTTTCAGCAGTATGAAAATAGGTGATCCTTTTGGTTCTGTTGCACTTTTTGCTCGCTTCTTTCATTTCTAAACAGTTAATAACTTTTCTGAATTCTGATTTCAATATAGTTATTTTGGCGCCTTATGGTATATCTGCAGAATTGACGGGCTTCACCTCTCAGAAAAAAGACGAATGTATGATTATGGAATCGGAAGCATGGTCAACCTTCTACCCACTTAAATCTAGTCACGAATGTGACTCTACTATAAGTGTAACAGGTTTGCCATTTTTTGCTATGGCTACACCAACAAATCAGAATTTACGTCAGCAGAACAGATTCAATAGTGATAAAAAGCGAACCATAGACGAAGCCAATCGACGATGCACAGATGTATCTCCCAAATTTGTTGAAGTAGTTGTAGGTAAGTTGGTGCCTAAGTTTCCTGAGTTGCTAATTATAACTTACGTTTGACAAACTAATATATCGTCCTTACGTTAACAAGAAATATTACAGTGTAGTTCGAATAATTGGTATCAACCTGTTTGATTTCTAGGTCACACTTGTGAGTGTAACTAGAGTGCACTGAAACCGGTTAGTAATTACTTCAGTATTTGAAGTTCAAGTTATTGCTGGCAAATCGATTGCCCTAATCAATACTTGGTGCAAAAAATGAGCTGCTCATAATTAGACACTCGTAATTATGTAATCATATTGGTAACAATTTCACGAAATCATATTGATAACTTTTTCACAAAATCATAGTGACAGCGACCCATCCCAACGCTACGTAACTGGTACCAGTAGTGGATAGTTGGTCACTTACTGTGATTCTTATTGCAGCTAATTACTTGAGTGTGATTCGTTAGATGCAAAAAGTTGTAACCAAACATTGAGTTTCAAATCTGTTTTGTCATCTATATATATATATATATATATATATATATATATATATATATATATATATATATATATTCAAGGAAAGTTCGTTCATCGTGAAGCTTCTTTGTGTAGACCGCTACATCTTGTTGATAAAACGAAGTTTGCTTCACAAACAAGTGTTAGAGGCAATTCATGTTACATTTGATTTTCTCTTTTCACAGCTGGTTCGCTGCCGTTTGTGAGCAAGAAACGTTCTTTTATTCACCTTGCATTTTTTGTAACAGTAGACAGTTTGGTTGGGTTCTCATATCATCTATATGTTATATTTTATCAATAGAAATAGTTTTTTCATTCATGTTTTTCAGTATGCGCTTCTGTTTGAAACTATCTGCAACTGATTTCCATATTTTTTTCTAGATGGCTTTCGTATGAAATATCCCATGTGCTTTGTGCTTGTCACCGCTGAAAATGATATACCTAGTCATCCGGAACGTAGTTCAACATTAGAAAGTGAAACTGCTGCTCAAACATCTGAAGTGTCAGCCCAACCTTTGTCTACGAATATTTCGGTCTCCTGTATGTCAAGCAAATGCAATTCTATGTATAATAATCACGTTTTCAACAAGTTAAAAACATCCTCTTTTTGGCGACCGAGCAAACGAAAACAACGTGCATTTATTAGAAATCATCGTACACCTTATTTAGCTTGGTTAAAGACTATTATTTCCAGTAGTCCTCTGCAGTCTGACTTCTTAGTAGATATTCGTCACATTTATTTAGCTGGAAGAACGCTGCAACGTTCATCTCACGGTAATCATCTTTCCCTTTCACTCAAATCAGAGTGGCAACCGAAGAGGTCTCATGTTTCTGATAAAGACGTGGGCGGAAATACTGATGAATTTCCTGCCTCAGTATCACCGGAAATATACTCATTGCCTGTGCACGATCCTTGTGCAGTCTTGGAGTGTTGTTGCAACAGGTAATTATTTTTCACATTAAACTGTTATCACTATCCATTCATTTTATGAAAAGTAGTGTTATTCCAGACACTTACTAAAAACTGGATCTTGTGGTTTACACACAGTAATTGTACCCGTTGTCGATGGCCATGCCCCTTTTGAGTTAAAACAGCATATTCCTTCCGGTTGACTTTCTAACATGACCACTAATAGTGGAGCCAGATATTACTAGAGGTATTTTACCACCAGCACTTTCGTAGTGTCGTTCGCATGTGGCGGAAATAGATTTTGAGTAATCAGTAGGTTGGGTGTAGAGCAATTAAGTAGAATAGGTTGAACAAAATTTAGGAAATAATTTGCCATACTTATTTTTGCTGAATTAATCCATCGAGGTTTACTTTTTCAGGTTCTCACGATTTCGTCAAACTGCTGTCTGCAGCTCATTTCACCAACAAGATCCCTATCTTCGACGCTCCATGAAATCATCAGTTCATTTTCAAGCACCTTTCTGTGATCGTCCGAGGACTCCACTCCCTATAGTTACAGCCAACTTATCTGCTACTCATGACCCATCCATGCCAACTCTAAGTCCTCAGCAACCTGCTCCGAGTCAACCATCTAATCTCAGCTCTAACACTGTACTCAATGAATTAAGCAGTGATTTTTCTTGTGACCAAAATGTATCCCAGTGCACACCAACTTCCAATCACCTCCCAACAGCGCCTCAACCTCCATCACTTCTTGCTAAACCTGAAAATAACGCAATATTATCTTCAGTTGTAAAGGTAAATTATTGGATGTTTCTAAATGCAGATCTAATTGGATGATTTGTAGTCTGTTTTACCATGTGTATGTCTGAAGTAACGTTTTGCGATTGAATTCAATTTCATAGTCGTTTTTGTTCATATTCTTCCAGATACCTAATGGATTGGTCACTGCTGATTTACCTGTTTTCTTGGATTCCCAATCACAATACGCCAAAATGTCTACGCGGCGCATTCCAGTTGCTTCGGTATCTGTAACCAAAAGGAATTTATTCAATACTTGGCTAGCTCGATACGCGGTGCAGGAATCGCAGCAGGAACCTTCCAATGATATAAGGCGTCCTAATCTTTGCCTCAATATTCCAGATCAAATTGAAAGAGAAAAGCATATGTACTTAGATGGTGTTTCCACTCAGTCTACATTTGAACAGTCATCCTCATCCTTTTCAAACTGTATTGTCGAAGACATTACGCTCAACAAAGAAAATGGCGTAATTACTGATGAATGGTGAGTGTAGTTCTCATTGGAGTTATATTTCTCCTCATTTGATAGTAGCTTACATACAAGGGGGCCAGTTTCAGGTTTGCTTATTAAATATAGGAAATAATATGGCCAGTGTAGTGCATCAAAGTCTAGACCTAACTGTTGTGAGTACATTAGACGGATATCCATCTTGGTCAATCAATTATAGAATGTATTGCCTCAGTAATATTAGGTTGAAGTCTTTGTGGACGAACAGTGAGGGAGAAAAATCACTGGAGTGTTAGTTATTTTACTGCTTGGTGCTCGTTTGGAAAACTAATTGTCATGCATAATCTCGACGCTTTAAAAGGCTGACTTCTTTATAATACATTGACTTTCACTTTCATTTCGAATATATCATATGGTTCAGGGTGTTCCACTTAATGACAATACGATACCGTATTCATTCTACACTAAGAACGACATAAATGCCACTCATTTTTCATTATAAACAGCTTGAAATTATTATACCTATCTTAATTTCTTGCAATCAGAAAAGTAATAGGAGAATATGTTATTATCATCAATATCAACATAGGACCAGGCATTACCGCGTAACGATCCGAGTTGCCACAGCTCATATTAGTACATCAAGTAAAAAGGTAGTGAGGTGCAAGATGAAGATAAGAAAATTCAGCCAAAAGAAATACAAAGTACTAAAAGAGAGAAAGGAAGAATGAAAAAATGGTGAGATTCGGTATAGCGTCGTTAAGATGAGGATAATGTGTGTATGCATCTGCGCCACTGACATGGGTTCTGGACCATATCACTTAGAGTCAGTCTTCAATCATTGATTCCTCTTGTCCCGCGGACCCCAACAGGCTAGTCTACATCACCCCACATAGCTCAAACCAACAGTCAGAGACTTCATACATTGATATCATGTTTTAGTCAGGCCGCCACAGGCCTTTCTCCAGCTTGAGCCTACTTCAGCCAGCATTGTGTGACGGCTCAATCGGTTTCTAGGCATACGTAACACGTGTCCCAACCATCTCAGTCAATGAAGGTTCATAACCTCCTCAACTGGTTTACCTCTTCTCCCTAAAACTCTCCACCTGACTTCTGCATTACTCACATGGTGACACCACGGAAAACGGCTTATACTACGAAGGCAACAGTGGTTAAACACTTGAAGCCTTCTCATGTCTTCCACCTTCAATGGCCATGTTTCACAGCCGTACATTAGAACAGACCCGACCGTTGTGGGGTACACGCGCCCCCAATAATCAATCGGATATCACGGCGGCGCCATAGTTGGTGTAATTTGGCGAAAGACAGCCGAGCCTTTTGTATCCGTGCAGAGATTTCATCGGCCACTGAGCCACTAGGGCTGATCCAACTTCCCAGGTAAGTGAAGTGGTCGACAGACTCAATCACTACACTCTGTGTTGTTAGCCGCGGTGGGGCACCGTTGAAGACCAATCCTGAAGCAACAGTTTGCATTTGGGTGGTGAGAACCGCATCCCAAATATTCTCAAATTGCCACTCAAAGTGTTCAGAAGCCTCTGCATTTTGTCAGCGTCTTCACCTAACAGGACTATGTCATCTGTACATTCTAGGTCTAATGAAAATTCTCTTGCGATTAGGTCAACGTCTGTGTAATCAAGTGACGAGAGAAAGAGACCTCCATGAGAATATCTATGATAAAATTGAATAAGAATGGAGACAGTGGGCACCCTTGATGGACACCACTCGATGAGCATAGCTCCTTGGACAACTCACCGTAGGATCTAACACACCCACAAGTGTTCGAGTAGACAGCCTTCAACAAGATGTACTTATTCGGCACGCCTTTCATTGAGAGACACTGCCATAAGACTTCTCGATCAACGGAGTCAAAAGCCACCTTCAGGTCGAGTAATACAGCTATTGTCGGGCGTCGGTAAGCATGTCTATGTTCCAGAACCTGGTGCAGTGTGAATATCTGGTCGATACACCCACGGCCGGGTCTAAAGCCTTCTTGGTTTTCTCGGGCTTGCTATTCCCGAGCTCCACTCAGGCGTCGGAGAATTATAGAACCTAGCATCTTGGACACTATGTTCGTCAGGCTGATTCTTCTGTGGTGGTTATCACAAGAGGACTTCTCGTCTTTCTTGAAGACTGGGATAATCAGTGATTTAGACCAGTCAGATAGGTTCGTATTTGATTCCCATATACTGGTTAACACTTCCGTTAACCTGACTAACAACACCTTACCACCATCCATGTAAACCTCTGGAGTTAGTCTGTCTGGTCCTGCAATCCTTCCTCGTTTCAGGTTACCTTCAGCTTTCTCTACTTCTGCTAGTGTTGGGGGCATATGTAAATGTTCCATTCAGGATCCGACTGGATAGCGGGCAACGTAATGGTAACTGGAGGCCAGTTAAACTGCTCCTCAAAGTGTTCTGCCCATCGTTCCAGTCGTCTCTCCTGTGAGTGAATCGCAGACCCGTCCTTCTCCACTATGGTCTCACTAACCGCAGTTGACCTTTTTCCCTCAGTTTCCTTAATAAATCTAAATAACTGTCTACTGTTACCAATCGCCGCTGTCTTTTCCATCTCTTTAGCTTTTGCTGCCCACCACTGTTTGCGGTTGTTGCGTAGACTTTTTCTCAGTCTACTTTTAAGCTGTGCCCCTGTTCGTTGTACTCAGAGTCTGCAATGATGCGTTCGCGTGTATCCATTAGTTCGGAAGAAGCTGCTGATTTCCACTGGCTCTTTTTAGCCACTCTTTCGGTGTCGACAACGGTCTTCAGCTCTGCTTTTACAGCAGACTGGAGATGGCACCAAGCTTTTTCTGGATGAGTGATAGTCTTTTGTTACGATAACTGCCTAACCAACTTCTCACTGAACATGGCTTTGGTGTTTTCGTTGTGTAGAAGCACTTGTAGTGACCTTGTTGCTAAATATTTCCTACGTCCGATGAGACGCAGACATACACGCGCAAGGATCAACGCGTGGTCGCTATCCAAACACGTATTCCAGAAGAAGCAGCAGTCTTCCACTGATGACTAATAGCAACGTAGCCTATCTGTGTCCACCGCTGAGTTGAGCTCGGTGGACGCCACGTCAAACAGTGTCTTTCTTTATGTTTGAAATTTGTGACAGCCATAAGTAGGTGGTTATCTGAGCATAGTTGTAGTAGGTGACCACCGTTATTTGTACGTTCAGTCGGGACTCCGAAAGTGCCACCTAAGTGCCTTTCTGCCTCACTCAGTCTACCCACCTGTGCATTAAAGTCACCTGCAACAACCACCACGTCCGAACGTTTGCCTTTCGAGAGGAGGATAGACAGTCCACGTTAGAACTCGTTCTTCACTTCATCCGAACTACAGTCAATGGGTGCGTAAGCAGAGATTACAAAGAGACAACGGTGAGTCTCACCATTCGTTTTAGTTCATAGGTGAATAATCGTACTTGGGTCCTGTATGCGTGTCTCACAAACACAGTACACATTCATGGCCCAAGTTGCTAGAGTTTTGTCTAACGAAATCTGTTGACCAATTTGGAGGAGGGTGCGGACATTGAAGACTCCAATATGTAATTTGGAGTGTGGTTTAAGGAGACCAATGATGCTGTTTTGTGGACTCAGATCATTGTCAAAGGCTGCAGAGCTAGGGGAAATTGAAGATATAGCATCGTTAGTTGAGAGAAGTGAAGGAAGATTAGAAGGTAATGATGAGGGAGGTGGGTAGCAGTCTGAAGAAGCTTGAGTACTGACAGGGTTGTGAGGGCGGTTGACACTTCCCGGCTGCCCACACTGTGGAAGGCTATTTCTTCTTAAGGTACCTGAAAGAGATTTGTGTGACCGCAGAGCCTATCGGACATCTGCTTGAGGCCTGTCACACGTAGCCTTTTGTATATGATTATTCTAAACTTTTGTTGTTTTGGGGCCGGGCGGTCGAAAAGAAACGACAAATGAACCAACACCACCGGCTCGGCAGACCGTGGGGTGTGTTATTTTTGGGGCCGACCTTTTCTAAACCCCCCTTCCACTGAGAAGGCAGCCTCAACATGGCACTGCTGGTCATCCAATGGAAACACCTTACTGCTGTCACACCCCATCCAGCTAGCAGCAGTACGAATTTGCCCTCAGACCCCCACCATAGTGTAGTAATTTACACCACAACGCTAACTGCTTTTCGTCTAGCCACCATCCAACAGACCTTTATGGTATGGTAGGACCTGGAGGGAACAAGTGTTCCGCCAGCACAACTCATTGGGTTATTGTGATATGCAAGCCCGACCACCACGTTGAGGTAGTAGCTAACAGTCGGGAAGAATATGTGTAGCGAGGTGTATCAGATGTCCTGAAATGACTTTAAATTTTATTTAGCCTTAACGTCTCATGAATTTAATAGGGAAGTCATAATATTCTATCGAACCAACTTGCTAAAATTCATAAATGGGTACAGAAAAGAGTGGAGTCAAGAGGAAAGCAAATAAAACTTATTAAGAATAATCACAGTTATAACAGTATCAAAGAACTAGAAAAAGATATAAAGATGACTATCGCCGTATACCACGTTGCATAGTGTTATCTTAAGTGGTTTTAGGCGAGCAGAAGGTTAAATACTGCCAGGTATGACAGACAGACAAAATCAACGTTGAACCTCGGTCAGAAATGCATCAACTCGTTGCCACACTTCGCATCAGCATGCAAAGAACAATGGGGTAGAAGAAGAGTGATATCAAAGTAGACAGAAGTGTATGAGAAGAGGAGAATTTAAAAAACAAGGTTGTTGAAAATGTTCAAAATTTAGACATCGAAGAGTGAATGGATCTGCGTTATTGTGACCGGTTTTAAGCCGTCACTAAAGGACCTCAACTACTAAACCGTTCACACCTCCCTACACTACTCACATCAACAGTAAAAGACTCCAGGAACTGGTTCAACATCTTGGTATGTCCAGTATCAACCTTCTTCCAAACCAATTCTACTTCGGCTACCATTGCACCTCGATGTAGGTGGTGGTTCGGGATTCGCACTATTTTTCTAAGCCATATGAACCAGTAAATGTTTGTACCTACTCATCGACTGGCTTGCCTTCTTTACGTAGTATCCTCGCTTAACCTCTACACTGCTTACATTGTTATTCCACCATACATAAGCAATGCTGCGAAGATTTGGCATCAGTTCATGAAGTCTGGAATTGTTGGTCTTAACTGTTTTGAGACCCCCGCCACTAATTAAAAGCGACGGTTAAAGACTCGGTGATGTAATTGGGAACCGATCGCAGTGGTACAGATGCATCCACACATTATTTTTATCCTACAAAAGTGTAAAATAGTGTTGTGTTATATGGTATCAATATAAAAATACATCCGATATACTACACTACGAAGTCTCCAGTCACATATCAACTCTCGCAAATACCGTCTAGGGTATCTGTAGTCACCTATGCAACTGAGTCTACCAGTCAAAAACATCGCGATTTAGTATCATATTCTAGTTTGACTGCTCCGAAGACTCTTTTGATGGTAATTCTCCAGCTAGTGTAATGTAGGTGGTAGATTGGCGTGTTTGATATGTCGCACCTACATTAAAACGCATTGGTACACAATGGATTTCACCACAGTGTACCACAGATCTTCTAGGTTAATAATAAGTTAAGCAAGCCTCTTTGCAATATGTATTCAAATTTCGTCAACCACCTGCTCACCAGAACTGATTCAACACTTTACTAAGGCGAGGTATTTGGGGAACTTTATCACTTCATTTCCTATTTTTCATTAGGTATCAGTGGATATGACTCATAAATCTTAGAACCTTAAATTTCAAAAGCATGATACTCATGTCAGTCGTTTACTTAAAGCATTTGGAAATAAGCAATTTGTAAGCATCTCTGTGCTTACTCATATACACCGATCTTCGGGAAAAAAATGTTGACATCGTAAAAGAGCACCAAAACTTGACGAAGTCTAGGAAAAGTAGATGTGCCAAAAAGATCACCTCGAATAATGTAAATCAGATGGGAACTCGACATAACCCACACAAATTATTTCAATGCAACAAAATCTTGAGAAATCTGAAGTACCTACAAAAAACTCCTGTCAAAGAAAACGTACTAGTAGAACTCCTGCAAAGTCTAATGGCGTTTTCATCTTAAGGATTCGACTGTAGAATGACACTTAAAGGTATGCAAGTTTTCAAACGCTTCGAGGAAGATGATGATGTGATTAGCACAACATTTCATCTCCAGACTTGCACGTTTCGTGTTCACTGTTCCTGAGCCCCAACTGATACCAGTGGACCGTAGTATCTCAGACACGAACAATTCAGTTCGGCGGTTATCACAGAAGGGTTACTCTAGCAAAGTTAGACGAACAGTGATAAGAAAGCGAATAGAATAAATAAAACCTAAATTCTCCACTCTGACTTGTTTTTCAATTAAATTACTACGAAACTACCATCCTTTTGGTTGTTGAGGTTTTACTTGTGGCTTTATGGTATTTCAGTGTTCATTGCAGTTTTCTCGATTTCCATTATTCTGATTAGTGCCAAATGAGCATTTGTACTAGTCGGGAAAGTGTTTTGTGCTTCTTTATAGTCTCTGTTTAGAAGTTTAACACTGACTCTTCCCCTTAGAGGATAGTTCTACTGATTTTTGTTTTTATTTAGCTGATTTCAGTGGTTTTAAATGACTGCCCGTCAGCGTCACTGAGACCTTAATCTCATTCACTTTCTGTACTCACATTCTATGAAGGTCTTTGAGTCCTCTTCAATAATTTGTTTTAAAAGCATTTCGTTCACGTTTGTTCAGCATGTATGGTCTCCTGGATTTGTGTTCTGAACTGAATATTGGAGTTACCAATGCCCACACTGTTCATGAAATCGAACAACAGGCTTCGAATCTCGGGTCATGGATTTCCGCTGTTTTTGTGAGACATACATTCAGCGTCGAAGTGTGGTTATTCACTTTACCTCACCTGACCAATATGGGGAATCTGTACAGGTTTCTAGAGATTCAATGACTAGCTCTTGCGACTTTGTGGATGTGTAGGTATACCGTTTAGTACCAAGACAGGAGTATGGCCATTCAAAATAGAGAACGGGTGTCTGACCACTGTTGCCTTCATAGCACAAACCGTTTGTCGTGATGTCACTAAGGCAGTAATGTAGAAGTCTGGCACAGAGTTTTAGACGAGAGAAAAATCTGCTGATAAGGTTGTAAACCTTCATCGTTTAAGGTGACTGGCTAGGACATAAGTTACACGTGCCCAGTCAGCGTCTATCCAGTTGCACAATGTTAGCTGAAGTAGGCTCAGGTTGGATAAAGGTTAGAAGCGGTCAGACTAAAAGATAGTATGATTCTTTGAAGTCTTTAGCTGTCGGTCTTGGCCGTATCGGTAAATGTAGACTTTTCAGTTGGTTTCTGCACGGCAACAGAAACCAGTGGTTAAGGACTCTAGGTGACATGGCCCGTATCGATCTCAATGGCAAAAGTGTATCGATTCATGATCTCCGTCTTATTGAATTTCAGTACTCTCTCATTTGTCGTTGTTTTTTTTGACCAACATCCTCATACTTTTTGTGCTTTCAATTTCTATTTTCTCATATTTGATTTTCGTGCATTCTTGCATGGTGTGCAGATGAGATGTGACAATTTGAACCGCTTTCCCGTAATCTCAGGTCTCATGTAGATATCATTTTTCTCTGTGTATAGTGTTTACGCTTTACGTTTTTAACTTCCTATTCGGTCCACCGGTGATCAGATTCGTGACATCTTATGTGGTAGTTTTCGTTATGTTGATTACTAGTGTTTTTGTAGTCAATCATGCTTTTGTAGGGTAAAATTAGGGTGTTTGGTTTGCAACCTCTAGTGACTTTCAAGTCAATTTTCTTCGAATAACACTTTGGTTATTTCGAAGTGGTGTTGAAAAATTTTTATTTCTGGATCCATACAAGCAGCGTTTCTGACCCTGTACAGTGATACCTGTCCTCTGTCTTTTAGATTTCTGATTGTTTAAATTATCAATGTCTTGTAATAAAAGATACTAAATACGCGGTGGTTAATTAACCGCTTGTTTCTCACCTCTGCACAGCGAATACCAAAGAGATTGCAGAACATGGATTGTAGGAATTTTTTCAACCAGAAAATACCAATTATTCTCAGTGCAGTTGCTCATATACAGCCGTAACACAGAACGCTGAAAAGTTGAATGACACATTGATAGCAAAAACAGAAGGCAGTTGAAAAGTAAGGTCAAGAGTGAATTATGTTTGCAGAACTCATCCTAGTTTTTTTTTAATGCTGGTTTATGAACCACTTTTTTCGTGTAAACGTATGATACTAATCAGTTTCCCAGGTTAAACCATAAGAGCGGGATTTAAATCAGAGACCTATCGTTTGAAAGACGGATTCTTAAGCCATGTCCACAAATAGCGTATACTAGATCGGGAGAAACAAACAGTGTACAAGTATTGGGAAACAAATTTAAGTTCTAAAAAGTAGGATTACCTTAATATAATTATTGATGTTGATGCTAACCAGGAACACAAAATTGTCAGAGTGAAGTTAGTTTATAGCAAATGATCAATTAGTGGTTTACAAAGTGTTGCTTCCAAGGAACTGTCTAAGTGTCTTTTACTTAATCGTTTGTCTGTCTATAGTTATTAATAAAAATGATGTAACTCAACCTGGTAAAAGTTTATCTATTAGACCTTGAGCCACGCTAATTGCGTGGTGGCTTATAATTCTAACCGGTCACTGAAACTGAAGTAATCGGTATGCGGTCTGATCCAGAAAATCCGCTTGGAAACCGAGTGCTGAAGCTAATGAACCACATCACCACAGGCCTATAATTAAGAAGTATGGTTTCACTTTCAAGCTTATAACTACTGCTGAATTTCGTAAGTCTACAGGAATGTAAGGAAAAAACTTGGTCACTGTGTTAGTGTATTCCATACTAGTTTATTTGATTGATATGACACACAGTGCCGCAGTATAATTTACTGGATGACGTTTCGAGCACAACTTATTGCTTATTGGGATGGACTGTATTGATTCAAATAGACAATCACACTCAGGTTTCATAGCTTGATTATAGATGCCTGATTCGAAGTCATACATAGTAACGCAGATGCACTTACCTTCTATGTTTAGTTTCAGTGCTGTCTTATCTCTTAATATACTTTTTGTTTGTTCGATTCTTCTGATTTTCACGTCATCTGTTGTAGTGGAGTTGGGTAACTGTAAACTATGCATCTTATTACAATGCTGCGTGTTTTGTCCTCTTACCTGTTCAGTGAGTTTACTGTGATAGATAAAAACATCATTTGCCGATTGCAAATGCATCTTCGATTTTATTTTAGGTTTCTATGATTTTTATTTTTTATTTCAGTCGGACGTTCATAGTTTGTTTCCTAATTCCCATATTTGACATAAAATGTTATGCCCATAAACTTAGTCGTATGTTTGATGTTTGTAGGTTTTTGCATACTACCACTAAAGAATTTAAACATTTTTCACTCTATTTTGAAATCGTTTCTAGCTTATATCGAAACAAGCGCCTTCGTCATGCTGTATGTCGTACTGATTATAATGAATGCTGTTTAAACGACTCTGCGCCAATCACAGCAACAGACACTTCGAATGTCAACTTGACTTCTATCAATTCATGTAAGTTACTGAACTTTTCTTGCATCTACGCAAATTTAATTGTCGTTCTAAATTATTTTTTTATATTTATAGATTCCCCAGATGTGAAGGCTGATATCACAGAATTCAATGGTCCTATTGATGACCAATATATTAATTCTACATTAGAAACAAATGTTCATTCTGGATTGGTGCATTCCAATGGGACCATGATTAATTCAAGTGGAGCTCTTAATCGTAATGTTGGACTGATTACTCATGTAAGTTTGTTTACATCTTGTCGAGAGTTTGTAGCAGGTTGGAATACGCAATAATGCCAGTTAGATCTTCAATACTTCCTCAACATCTCGGCATACTAACCATCTAATTGCAGTTTAAGTAAAAGTTACCCATTCCCTGTAAATGAGGTCTTTTAAAGTCTTTGTTGCCATTTTTGCACCCTCTAAATGTCAACTGCTCACGCGTACGGTGTACGCAGATAGACTTACTGCCATTTCTCTCAGTGGTGACTTTCTAACAAGAAACGCATCTGAATTTCTTGTGCTTAAGTTTTCGTCAGAAAATGACAGTTTATAGTAAAAAAAAAAACATTGACTCATGTATACACAAAGAGAACTATATTAGCGATGCTGTGATACTTATTTAACATCCGTGTCCTTGAGCATATATTGTCAGATATTAACCTGAATAAAAATGCAGTGGTGGTCACCTTATGTAAAAGTGGGAATGTTTGTTTTCTGTGACTAGGTGTGTGCAGTATCTCCTAGAAGGCTTCCATTTACACCTGATTCATCTAAAGGGAGTTCGTTGCTGGTATTTCGAATGTAATCATCTCACTTTAAACGGTTAAATATGTGCTTGGGTTTAAATTTTCAAGTATATGAATAACCATACATAAAATAAAAAGGAAGATATATCTTTCCTTATAAACTATCTTTGACATACTATCTATTCGCACTCTGTTATCAGTCTTCCGAATGAACCTCCAAAAATTATGTTTATATAAAATGATTTGATGCTCTGAAAATGGTCTCAACCTTCGTTTCATCGAGAAAACACGAATTAAAAGTCAACACTTGTGGAACTCCATGAAACAGTAGTGGAGTTGATAACCTTCAGCGTATGTTATGATGTTGAATATCGCAGAATATCTGTGGTCAGAGACTGTATGCGTATTGTCTAAAATCTTGACAACTTTCCTGAGTTAGCTGCTGATATAGATCCTCAAGAAGGAGGGGAATCTTCGTATTATGAACACCGGGAATCAATGTGATAACTTAGTGTCTACGATTTTAGGTTCTATCATCATTCAGTGCCTAAGTGAAGTGGGAAACGCGAGATTGCCAGATAAGTTTCAGATAAGATCGTTGGTATCGATCGGGTATTTTCTCTCCACCGGTTTCTGGAACAGGGACATAATTGTCGAGGCTCGTCACTGACTGTATTTCTCGACTTGAAGGTGGCATTCGACTCCGTCTATCGCAAGACCTTGTAAAAGTATCTCACTGAAAGGAGTGTAGGTACGTAGATTCTTTCGTTGGCAGCTCTGTGTATGGCCACTCGTGGCCGTGTTAGAGCCAGTGATTAATTATTAGATGCACTGTACGCTTAGAGATGTATGCACCATTTTCACTTAGTTTTACAGTAAAAGCGCTATTGACGTTGTCACAGAAGACAGAGACTACGCGAATGACATGGTCCCATTAGGTAGAGATGTATTTTGGATATTTTGAGTGGCAAATCCAGAATATTTAGGAGGCGTTTCGCATCACCCAAATGCAAACTGTTGCCTTGTTAGTGGCTTGTTTGATAAAAGGGAGTAAAGTGGTTACGTGCGTTGACCTTTTCGCCTACCTGCGAAGTCAAGCCAACCCTGCTGGGTCAATGAGAAAATTATCTTTGCAAAAGAATTACTGTGTTCTACTCTGGTGTTAAAATATGTTAACTGAAGATGGAGGACATGAGAAGGTCTACGTCTTTCGAGCACATGTACCAGTAACGTAGAAATCAGGTGTAGAGTTTTAGGCAGATAAGGGAAAAGTCACTTGTTGAGGTTGTTAACCTTTATAAGGTGATGTGACTGGAGCAGATGTGCATGCTTGGCCACCATCTACGCTGTTGAGCAATGTTAAGAGAAGTGGGTTCAGTTTATGATGCGGTCAAAGACTGCCAGGTCAAAACATGCCGTCAGTCTATGAAGTTGTCGATTGTTGGTGTGAGCCGTGTAACAGAATGTAGACAGGTTGGCATCTGCATGACAGTCAAAATCGATGTTTGGTGACTGGTTGATATGTCTGAGAATGGATCACAGTGGCGAAGACATACCCACACAATTTTTTGACGTTGATCGGGATCCTGACTAGGTCTTGTTTTATTCAGTCTTAGTTTCCTTTGAGAACTTCGTTTCATTTTTGGCTACATTGTTCTTGATTTTCCTGCTTTGGTAACCGATGTTCGGCTTATTTGTACTGTTTAACTGTTACCTAGTCTCATTTAGAAGTTTAGCTGCTTGCTCGGTGCTTTGTTTGTTCGCTTTCCTTGCTTACTTTACTTCTACTAAAACTTGTCGTGATCGTGGTCAGGTTGATGTGTTTCGTTTTGTTTTATATTACTGCGATATTATTCTTCGCCGTTCATGTGAGTCATGTAGTGATATGCACTTTTCTGTTTTACTGTAAAATTTCACTACGAAGAAATCTCATAACTGTTTAGTTTATCTTGCTGAACTGTAACTTTAGTCCACATTCAGGAAACTTTAGGAAATTTTAAATCGTGTTCTCTGCCGTATGTGATTACTTTCCTGTTCTTTTGCATTGTTCATATTTGGCATTACATTTGCATTTCATTTCAGAGAGGAGTCAGTCTTGCCAGTAGCACTGGTTCTGGTCCTATCGGACCAGCAGAGTTGGCACTGATGCTTCCCACTCCACCTTCTCATGATGCTCCTCAACCCAGTCCTGTGGATGGTGTTTCAGTTGCTGCTAACCGCGTGAATGCGTCAGCAACTTCAGTAAGCACTCCCGGACCTGGTTCTCCATCTTTACAAACAGTTCCGGACTTAGTGTCTTCTGTTTCAGTGGACAATTTATCTCACCCAATTTCTCAACCTTATCAGTCTGTGAATTCGCCACTACCTCCTCAAAGCCAAGGATTATGGCATCTTGCGAAACAACCATGCATACAAAACCTCAGTAGTGTCAGTAAGGAATCTCAAGTGAGTATTATCGATTTTATGTCATGTAATCTGTCATTCGTAGTGGAAACAGACGTTGTTTCTTCTATGATTTTATCACTGTGACATCCTAGTTTGTCTGTAAGTCATTACGTTCATTTTGATCGCATGCGAATTCATAACTAGGTATTAATGACACAAAGGGATATTTTTGAATAAAAGAGGTACTGTAGCATATCATTTCAATCCCACGATTTCTGTCTGGACTAAAACAGCGTGCCCATCATAGATTCTGAAACAAATGCTTATCAAGGTGGTATTCTTCGTGTACTGGCATTACTTGAAAAACTATTGAAAACTTGGAAGTACTGTGCAGCTGTTTTGTTCAAGATTGGATAAGTGAATGCTTCGTAAGACTTATGAAGTAAATACCGTTGAAATCACGTAGCCCGATGATAAAACGTCTAAGAACAACCCTAAAACATTAGAGAACACCAAATAATGATTAGTTTTCTTTGACTATTACCGACCAATTTTCCTGTATTTTTCCCGAGATTATATTAGTCAGCATACCACCAGTTTATCTGTGCAACACCAACTGACTGTTGGTGTAAACTGCTCATGAATTATACGTTGACATCTCGTCTGTGCCTAACATACCAAGCATTTCTAGTTATCTGTGTATATTGATCGGGTGGGAGCACTTGGTCTGTACTTCGTTCAAAAAATCAAAGTATATTGTAATTAAGTTTTTCTCGCGTAGATCAATCCCCCACCAATGTGGCTTACTTTTACAGGGACGTTCAAAATGACATTGGTAGCAATACATATTCAATAATAAGCATAATTCGTGAAAATAATCGTAAATAATAGCTCCTTGAAAACTAGCAAACGAGGTTCGAGTTGAAGTTGCCATTTTTGAGACATATTTGCTCGATATCATCTATTAGAAATCTTCGGATTGATGTAGCTAAATATCACCATCCGCTTAGTAACTTCAGCATGTATAGAACGTTATTAAATTCATTTGTGTTCCGTAGTTTGTTAGGAAGTTCTAATCAACTCGAAAACTGGTTTTCTCTACTTTTTTCCCCGATGGATTGTTAAGGTCTTTAGTGGTCTGAGGTTAAGAGAGCACGATAAGTTAATTTTTCTTTTGATGCTTTCGAAAGTTTGTTTTCTTTCATAACAATCTATAGAAGTTAAGACCACTCAAAAAACTACGTTAATTGAAACTTTTGAAAGTCCATTTTTGTAGAAAAGTTTTAAAGTGGTAAGATATTTACGGTTATTTGAACTGGTAATCACTCCTTAAAATCTAGAATTAGATTTAATGTCTATTTTATTTGAGTTATTTCTCCAAACCTTGTGGAGATCTATTATTAATTCTACTTTATTCACAAATTATCCTCATTTTAATCATCATACTGAATTCAATATTCTCCTATTCCCCCTTGTTATCTTATTAAAACTTTCTACCACTTCTACCTGCCTTCTCCATTTCTTCGTCCTTCATCTTAGTGCCTGATGTGCTGATATCACGACTGGCAACTTGAACTGTTACGCAGAAATGCCTGGTCTGATGTTGATAATGATGATGATTCATTCTACTGTATCCTCTGAAATCTGGAAATATTCCAGGCTTTTTCATTTTTCTGTTTACTCTATCCTTAAACTAATCTTTATGTTCTGTTGATTCCTTACAATTTAGACTATTATAGTCTTTCTCTAAATCCTGTTCTTATTTATGATATTAAAATTTTCGGTCATATCAGTTAGTTTATTTTACGCATCAATATTTCTCGCCATTCATTTATCAATAAAACAATCCATAACAGGATTTGAGCTCATAATTTACGTCTTCACTTCAGAATTTCCATCAACCAAGCGAGGCAAACGAATACTCTTCTGACTTTCTGAGTGAAATTTTATTTTGTCCCTGTAGAAGTTGTCTTTTACTTCCCTATCTGCATCAATGCATGTATACATGCCTTATTTTCATTTCAGGATTGGTCATTTGTTCAACCATGTGCCGCTTATCTTGGTATGACTAGCAATTATCAAATTCCTCATGAAGAAATTTCATTGTTCGCAAAATCTCTGCCACAATTAAAGTGGTCATATGATCATCGTGTATCAAATCAAAAGTCTACGACATTAGATTTCCCAGATCCACATACTGCTGGCAGTCAGTCTTTTCCATCAAAGTCTTGGTTAATGTCTCCGAATTCACTCCCTCCCATTTCCTTACATCGAGGTGTAACAAGTACAGATAACAAACCTTGTTCACCTCAGCATCTAAATGAATCTGTGAATACATATCCTGTAGTAGGATTTGTAAAGACGAAAGATTTTGCAAGTCAAAATACCAGTTGCAGAGAGGAGTTTGCGGAATGGTTAGCTAGTTTGCGTGAAACAAATGGACTTCTAGTAAATTTAATTCTCTCAGATTCTATGCTGAATCTATTTAAAGATCACAATTTTGATTCATGTAATATTTGTGAATGCACATCATCTATTTTGGGCTCTGAGATTGGATTGTACTTGTCCAATTCAACATCTTCATCATCACCTTGTAATAGATCCACGCGAATTAGCACTTCGGCTTTTGGTGGTCATGATCTAGTTGGTGTGTCTGGATTTCACTTTACGCGAGGATGTAAGTGTGGATTTAGTGCTGTAATGAATCAAAAGTATGTCGTTAATGGAAATTTATTCTATGAGGATGAAATTGAAGTTACACGGCTGTCTGTTCGTTCTGCCCTGGGTCAAAACAGTGAAAATTCATATTCTCGTCAACCTAACTACCACACACGTCCAGGTTGGTGGATAACTGGTTGTCAACCCTCTGTTAGTCATTTACTTCTACTCCAACAAATAATGAGCAGTGTCTTTGAGGAGTTCAGCGTGAGACAAGTAACCGATCTTCTAAGGTGGAATATGTTATCACATGATCAATGCATAAAAGAAAATGAGTTAGAATATGATGGTCAGTTTGTAGTTACTTAGTAATTTTCGTTTATTTTTTTCTCTCATTTACTATGCAAAGTAAAAGGGAATTAGTTTTGTATGCCTATAAAGTGCAAAGTATGTTTACTGCCGGTCACAGACAATTTCGGTGTTTGTACCTGTAGCAATACGTCCTCACATAGAGAACCGTATCTTTCTCGATAGAGAGCTATTGGGCAGGGGAAAGTGGACATAGTAGGAAGGCAACATGTCTGAAATACTACTTTCCTGAGGTATGCAATGTAATACCGTTAGCTTTCTTGTCCAGCCATCAGTATAGCGTCCTCGGAAACATATCGTAGGTATTTTACACTATAATGATGTCCGTTTATTGTTGCACCACTATTAAACCACCCTTTCTGGAATTGATAGCACCAAGGAAGAGTCTGTAGTCAATAGAGTTCATGAGGTCGTTACTATATACAGATCTCAGCACATTGAGTTAAAAACTACTGAGCAGTAAATTTCATCTGTGAGCTGCTCAAACATCTTGTTTATTCATCTTGATTATTTTCGCTGGATATCAGGATCCTAGTTTGTATATTAAATGTACATTTCTTCATGTTCATCCATAGTGTAAGTGTGGAGCTGACCAAATGCAAAACCAAATAGAAATTTTTCTTATAACCGACCGATAGATTTAGCTGATTCTTAAACGGCTTTCGTCTTACTGGAGTCTTATAAAACTGCAGCAAATTTAAAGTGTAGTTCAACAACTCGGTGAAGAAACAATGTATTAGAACATATTTGTAATCAAAAGCCTCAAAATAAAGTGACTGATGCTAAAAATCGAACATTACATCTAATCAGAGTTACTTGTGTCAGTGAAAAGGTAAGTATGGGATACGGTTCAATATCCAACACAGAAGCATTACACGTATTGTTTACGATCTCCATCGACTTTTATGTAAGAGTTAGGTTTGGGCATCTTGACCAGTCGGCTTCAGAAATACTTGCAGTGATTTTCCTCAGTTGGTAACCTCATAGCTAGTAAGAAATAAATGTGAATTGCAAAGAAATGTTCTAACCGATTGTTGATTAGATTCCCCGAGGGTCATTGGATCTCAGCAGCTTCATCTGAATTAGTGCATGCACATGAATCCATTCATGCAGGCTCCAAACACAATGGGAAATAGAGGTAGCTCAAATGTAGACTGACGGAATTTTCTTAATGACCGTGAGCCTTAGTGGACATTAAAAACTAAGGAGGTGGAATAGGTAGTGGTAATAGATACCAGTAGACAGTTATGTAGACTAATGAAAAAACTAGGAAAGAAAAGTTGGTTTGTAAAGTGTTAACCAGATTGTGGGAATGAGATATGAACCCCCACCTAACAGATTGCAATGGTTAACTGTCCACGTCCTCAAGATGGCGGAGAAATCGTCTTACGACAACCACCGAATTGTCAGTTTGACAGATTTGGTGTCCATGATTCTAGATCTTATTGTCAATAACCTACTATACGAAGGTACACGTGGTTGCTGAGGCAATTAGTTTAGCTAATATTAGATTCATGTGGTTACTTTTTTCGATTTCATGTTAATATACGTTATGAATCTACTTATTTTCCATGTGATCAGTGATTCATGATAATTGGGAATGTTTGAGGTTCACTTAAGTTTTCAACTGAATGTCTGTCTTTTATTGTAATTGGCTCCTTTCCTAGCAACTTGTCAGACATGTAGTTTGCCTACTCAGATAAAATATTTTTACTTTCCCTCAGATGAGTCCTTAACTCTGGTGTTTTGTACACTTTTATCAACCCTCAGTTGTTTGAGGAGTGTGTACGTTAGTATGCAGTTTGTAGGAGTAAAGCGTCCTGCACTATTATGTAACTTTATCGTAGATTTAGCCTTTGTTGTAATACTCATCAGCAAAGCGTATCTGCGATTTCGTCAGTATTGAGAAACTCGAATGAAAAACGAGTGCGAATTGCAAGTTTTATCATCTACTGCATAGACGTCGCCAGAAAATCATGTGGCCTTCTAGATAGTTATTTTTTCAGTACTAATCTTGAAGCTGATCTGTTAGCGCGACAAATAAATGATTATCTGTTAAATTTACATGTTCATTCTTACCTGTTCTTTTGGTCAATAACCTGTACTTTGTATGCTGTCTTTTGATTTCTTTAGTCATTTAATTTAGTTGTATAGTGAGTCAGTTAAACAGCATAACTGATTTCGAGTTTTTGTCATCTGATCCCATTGTAGTATTATGTAGTTTAGCGATCATATATCATTTCTTGATCGTTGGTATTCAGTTACTATTACAAAAATAGGCTACATTCACCATTTGATCAAATAGCCAATTCATGCAAATGGTGTTTTATAAATGCTTTCCCAAACTTGATTTCACTTAATATACACAATCACCTTGGAAAACCTGTCTGCTACTCAATTTTTGATACCAGTTATTATGTTTACTTTGCATTTACTTTGCTAATATTTATTGTTGTTAATTCAACTCTTACAGATGCATGTGCACTGATTTCATCTGCTATACACAATTCGGCGGAAACAGTAGACTCGTTTATCAATTTAGAATCCAGTGCAATCGGTGCATCTCATGGATTCTCAGAAAATAATGCATACATTCATCCATCCTTTTTCCTTAAAGCTCGCTCTAAAATACCACAGAATCAGAATGATCAAATACGATTGTTAACCGTAAGATATAACCTTGTTTTCTATTGGTGATTTTCAAATCTTTTACATAAAACTTTTTTTTTCAAACTCACACAGTACATGTCAGAACTTTACTACTTTACTTCTTTACAGCACCTGTCAGTTTACAAGTAGTTATCACTGTGTTTCAGAAGAGTGCGAACAGCGTACTCCGAAAAATATTTACCACTCAGTCAGTTTCAGTCTATGATGTAAGTACAACAAAAGTCAGGTTGCTACTCGGTTGATTTCGTCAGAGATATGATTTGTATGTTATTGTTACTACCTAATACATTAATTTAGAAGTGGATTGATTATAAGTGCACTTCTAGTATTTATTTCCTGTTGTTTTTCAATCTCTTTCGATTGTTATTCCCTTTAAGAATAAAAGTTACGCTATCTCATACCATGGTTATTTTAATGAGCAGTTCATTTGCAACTCTTTTTCAAGACTTGTGGAGGCAGCCTGTTAAACCTGCTGCTTCGGCCCATTTCAGGATGTCAAATGTCCTCTCAGCTTAAGTTAAAGTCGAATAACCATTACTTAAATTTTATTTAGGCTTTGATTGGATTGTGAGCAACTGTGGCATGACTCAGTCACTTGAACTTTTACTAAGTGTTCTGTTCAACTGCACATTTGAAAAGGTTATAAGGAGATCGTTTTTTTCTTGGTGATTGTCTCTTCAGTCATCCTCTTTTAGGTCAGTTTTTCCGATAAGCTTATTTAATTAACAAATATTACGTGTAACGTTCACACCTTGTGACCAAACACCGATTGGTTTCATCACATTTGCATCTTGTAACTTTTTGGTGTGAACCTACTTACTCAAACTAATCCATGATTAAAGTACTTGAGAAAAAGTAGCAATTTCCAAATAGTTGGTACACAACGATGCAATCTATCTGTGCCCATCGTTGACTTGATGTCTGTGGATACCAAGTGAGTCAGTGTCGCTTCATGTATGAATTTCATGGGATCATGAGTTCACGAAAGCCGACTGGATATTTGCAGTTGTATAGCCTCGAGTTTATCCTACTCATTAAAAACTGTAACTTTTCTCTGATGTACCCGACTACCGCCTTTTACGAATTCTCCAGTAACATGTATGATGATATTATCCCTAAGTTGATCAGACTAAATAATTAGTGAGTTTGCCCATAGTTTCATGTCTGAGAAATAAAACTGCGGCTATGTTTCTATAACCCTTCAGTTTCAGAAGCTGCAAATATTACAATCTGTCAGACATCTTTTTGCTTTCTAGCTTTTCTATTCAAACTAGTTTTGTAAATCTTTTCAAAACTGTAAAAATCCGTTTTTGACTCCAATCCAGGAGTACAGCACACTAAAGAGTTTAATTGATTAGTAACCAACTGTAGTTAAACCTCTGTCAAATGATTTCTTTGTAAAATATATGGTAACAGAAACTAAGATCCATCCAATTACTGATCTGCCCAGGCCTCACATTATCAACAGAAAGTAGGGTTAAAAATAGTTGTTCCTCAGGTGTTTTAATGTGTATTGATGTTAAAAACTTTTACTGCCTTACAACTCTGTAATCCCTCAAGTTCCCTCAGATCATTGTCCACCTTACACATGTTTAACTTCTAGTCTTCCTTCACACCTCCTGTTCAATATTCCTAAATTAATCAAAGACGAAAATGTATATCAACCACTTGAAACCAACCCTATCCAAAAGTTCAACAACCAGATCAATAAAACCTTGAACAATCTCTTCAAAGCAGAAGAAATGACAAAGCAAGACAAATGGAGAATGAAATCGAATGGACCTATCCTTCCTCGGTTCTACGACAGACCAAAACTACACAAACCAGACATCCTTCTACAACTAATAGTCTCACTTCCGAGAACTCCAACATACAACATATCAGGAGAACTTTCGAGAAAACTGAAACACCTCGTCCAATCATGCGGACATTCCATCGAGTCACCAACGGAATTCTTAGAAAAGATTAAAAGTATTATCATGAAAAACGATGAGTTAATGATATCCTTCGATGTCACATCACTATACACATCCATCAAACCTCAATTGGCCAAGGAAACGATATACCTCCTGATCAATGTTCAAGTCTGATGGAACTCATCGACCCTTGTATGACAACAGACTTCCAATTCAACGGCAAGATATACAAACAGATAAAAGGAACTCCAATGGGATCACCGATATCCGGATTAATTGCAGAAACAGTAATGCAGAGACTGTAAGCCATTATTCTACCTGTGATCAAACCAAAAATTTGGATTCGTTATGTAGACGACACTTTTGTCATCATTAAAAAGGACGATATAGAAAACGCCCACAGTTTGATCAACAACGTTTTCAATGACATCAAATTCACAATGGAGAAAAAGTCAAACAACCAACTACCATTCCTGGATGTTTTAGTTAGTAGGACAAATGCCGGAAAGCTGGAAACCCAGGTGTACAGGAAACCAACACACACTGACCAAATCCTCAACTACAATAGCAACAACCCAACGACACAGAAAATCAGTTGCGTGCAGACTCTATTCAAAAGAGCGAGAACACACTGCAGCACAACAACTTCAAGGAGAAACGAAAGAAAATTACTTGAGGTCCACCCTAAAAAAGAACGGCTACCACGAAACTTTATCAGAAGATGCCTATCCCATGCATCACCAACTACAAAGTCATCGACAGAAACCAATAAACGCATCGTCCTACCATACATAAAGAATGTATCAGAAATCACGTTAAGATTGCTGAGACCACTTGGAAATGGTGTGTCTCATAAACCAACAAATTCCCTGTAAGCACACTATTATGCAGATCAAAGGATGCAACAAGCAAAGGAGACAAACCGAATATTATTTACAAAATAAACTGCAATAACTGTAGTCAACACTATATTGGACAAAGTGGCCGCCCTCTTCGCCTTCGTCTACATGAGCACCAATTGGCTATTAAGCGCCACGACATTTCGTCACTCATTTCAATGCACGTGAATAATTATGGACATGAATTCAATTTCGACAATGTAGAAATTTTAGACAGAGGGAACACGAAAAATGTCAGAGAATTCCTAGAAGCTTGGCATTCAGGTCAATCAGTCAGCAACCAACAGATGTATCGACATAGACCCGATCTATCAACCAGTAAGAAAAACGATAAAGGACATAATGGTCAGAGGTGGAGCAGAGGAACAGCCAACAGGAAAGTCTATACAGTCAATGACACGACAATCGAAGGAAACAACCAATCACAGACCACATTGTCAGAGCAAGCCACTAAATCACTCACAGAGAAATATTGACAGTTCACTTCATACTTCATACCGTTAGCTGCTACCTCAACGTGGTGGTCGGGCTTGCATATCACAATAACCCAATGAGTTGTGCTGGCGGAACACTTGTTCCCTCCAGGTCCTACCATACCATAAAGGTCTGTTGGATGGTGGCTAGACGAAAAGCAGTTAGCGTTGTGGTGTAAATTACTACACTATGGTGGGGGTCTGAGGGCAAATTCGTACTGCTGCTAGCTGGATGGGGTGTGACAGCAGTAAGGTGTTTCCATTGGATGACCAGCAGTGCCATGTTGAGGCTGCCTTCTCAGTGGAAGGGGGGTTTAGAAAAGGTCGGCCCCAAAAATAACACACCCCACGGTCTGCCGAGCCGGTGGTGTTGGTTCATTTGTCGTTTCTTTTCGACCGCCCGGCCCCAAAACAACAAAAGTTTAGAATAATCATATACAAAAGGCTACGTGTGACAGGCCTCAAGCAGATGTCCGATAGGCTCTGCGGTCACACAAATCTCTTTCAGGTACCTTAAGAAGAAATAGCCTTCCACAGTGTGGGCAGCCGGGAAGTGTCAACCGCCCTCACAACCCTGTCAGTACTCAAGCTTCTTCAGACTGCTACCCACCTCCCTCATCATTACCTTCTAATCTTCCTTCACTTCTCTCAACTAACGATGCTATATCTTCAATTTCCCCTAGCTCTGCAGCCTTTGACAATGATCTGAGTCCACAAAACAGCATCATTGGTCTCCTTAAACCACACTCCAAATTACATATTGGAGTCTTCAATGTCCGCACCCTCCTCCAAATTGGTCAACAGATTTCGTTAGACAAAACTCTAGCAACTTGGGCCATGAATGTGTACTGTGTTTGTGAGACACGCATACAGGACCCAAGTACGATTATTCACCTATGAACTAAAACGAATGGTGAGACTCACCGTTGTCTCTTTGTAATCTCTGCTTACGCACCCATTGACTGTAGTTCGGATGAAGTGAAGAACGAGTTCTAACGTGGACTGTCTATCCTCCTCTCGAAAGGCAAACGTTCGGACGTGGTGGTTGTTGCAGGTGACTTTAATGCACAGGTGGGTAGACTGAGTGAGGCAGAAAGGCACTTAGGTGGCACTTTCGGAGTCCCGACTGAACGTACAAATAACGGTGGTCACCTACTACAACTATGCTCAGATAACCACCTACTTATGGCTGTCACAAATTTCAAACATAAAGAAAGACACTGTTTGACGTGGCGTCCACCGAGCTCAACTCAGCGGTGGACACAGATAGGCTACGTTGCTATTAGTCATCAGTGGAAGACTGCTGCTTCTTCTGGAATACGTGTTTGGATAGCGACCACGCGTTGATCCTTGCGCGTATATGCCTGTTGCTTAATGGGCGCTATGCACAAATATACAATGCTTTCAGTTGACGCTGAAGGCTCTGTGGAAGATTGCCACGCCTTCTGGCACACGTGTTCTTGAGGCAACGACATGCTGGTTCAGGTATGCATATGTGTGCCCCTCATTAGGTGTGTAAATACCCTAGCGTGCAAACCAGTAACTGTGCTGCTTAACGAAGAGAATATTGAGGCTGCTTTCAGCGAAAAACCTAGGCAGACAGTTATCCGTGCAGAACAACATGAGTCATGCAGAAGAAACCTAGTGACATCTTCAGTCTGCTGTGAAAACATCATTGAAGGCAGTAGCTATCTCTTAGATATTGATTAGGAAAGATTAGTTGAGCTCGCCAGGTTTTCCTGCACCTGATGGCTGCATTTGTATGCATCACTGCACTCTCCGAGCACAGTGAGGTGCGAATGGAACTGAAATGTACGCTGACAAAAATCTATGCAGTGATCACGAACAGTTGGGTAGTGAAGACTGAAGAGGTGTGATAGGTGACCGCTATGGATAACAGTAGACAGCTGTTTAGACTAATCAAGAAAGCTGTGGTAAACAGGCTAATATTTTGTGAGACTGTAATGAAGGGTTGATCTGCGATTCACTCGCTGTATAGACGACTGGAACGATGGGCGGAGCTCCTCGAGTAATTTAAACTGACTTCCAGCTACCATTCGGTTACCTGGTGGTTTCTTGCAACTTCGATCGTGTTAAGTTAGGCTTATTAGTACCTGACATGATGTTTCTCCAATGTATATGGCATCGCATCCACCACAGTCTACCCTATAAACGCAGTTCTGTTGTTCCAAATGGGTGATCGGGTCTTTTTATTTGCACTTGTGTGGGTGTAAAGTGTTTATCACCTTAAGGAATATGCTGATGTTGTAACTGTTAAGGATGCATCCTATCTCCTGTGATGTGGTTGCTCGATAAGAAAGTACTACAGTACTTATCCAGTCTTTATGGGTTAGTTTTTCGATAAAATTCTCACCCTTATTAGTAGCTTTTCGGGATAGTTGTTTTGTTTTGAGACTTCGCTAACAAGTTGCTTGTCTAATTTCTGAGATTCCACTTCATTAGGTATTCTTTGTGATCTGGACAACTGATTTTTAGTGACGTTTAAATTAGTTTCTAGTGCTTGAATCAATTCAAGGTACTTGTTAGAATGTGTATCCTTTCGATATGCATCAATATCAAGTGTTCCGTCGTTGTTGCGTATGACCCTATAATCTAGGAAAGCTAGCGTTCTGCATTCTGTTTCTAGTTCATAAGTGAATTTTATGAGATGGAAACACCTGTTAAGATATTCGAAGAGACTTCCTAGGCCTTGTCTTTTAGTTATGACTAAGGTGTCGTCATATTCGCGGCTTTAAATCATGTTGGCTAAATTGGTTTTGTCCCACTTTGCACAAGCATAGATTATCTACAATAGGTGAAACCGGTGAGCCCATTGGTGCCTCACTGGTTTGACTATAAAGATTTTCTCGAAAAGTAAAAAAAGTTTGAGGCCAAACATAATTTCAGTGCATCACTGATTTCACTGATGTAACTATTGCATCTAAGTGATGGGGAACTATCAGATTCTAACAGAGATCTAACAATTTGTATGCTTTCACCAACCGGGATATTTGCATACAGGGAAACAACATCAAAGCTAACCATTGTTTCATCTTCAGTGTTTAATTATGATTTATGTTTAAAGTATGATGAGTTTCTAATGGCACTTACGAAGTTATCCTATAATGGTTTAAGGATTTTTGTGAGGTATTTGGAAAGGTGAAATGTTGGAGAATTGGTAAAATCCACAGTTAGATGGATTGGAATATTGGATTTGTGAATTTTGGGAAGACTTTAGAAACGCGAAGCAGCATAACTTTTCAGTGCCAAATTGAACTACTTGGTTGGATGTTGGAAACTGTATTACTCGACGATAAGTGTATTTCATGTCAAATCTGTCGACATACTTTTATAAATGCTTATCGAGTACGTCTAGATCGTACAATTTAGTTTAATGAATACTGTATTGTATGTTTGTTATTTCCTTTCAAGTGTGCTCGTTTGTACATATATTTTACCAGCTATTTGTTATTCCTTTCCAGGCTATGCGTCCATGGCTTCAGGAGGCTATTTCGTCTACTAGGATGCTTGAATCAAACTACACTGTCGATGGACCGCTCACTTGGAAGGCCTTCCATCAACTTGCTGGTCGTGGCTCTGATGAAACATGTAAACCTCAACCAATCCCCCAGCTTCGCATTTGTAGTTGTGACCAAGATAACTTGCTAATTTCACCATTTGCTGTTCGTGATTGGGTAATGTTCATTCTTTCCCTTATACGCGAGCTAAATGTTTTATTCCCTCTTTAAAGCTTTATGTTTGTTTGATGTACATAAACTGTCATTGGTTTTGCTTCTAAATCTTATGTATTGATCTGTTGTTCAACTTATCTAAGAGAGTCACGTGTCTTTCCAGGATGACAGCGAAAATTTCTAACACTCTATGTCAGAGTGAAACCGTTTGATGTATATTTTTTTTAAGCTGTGCGTATTTTGTGAACTTGTGATGCAATCGCCGATTGCTGATCTGTTTATTTGCATTAGTGAGTGCAGTGTTTGCTGACACTCAACTTATTGTTTCACTAACTTTCACAATCAGTCTTTTCTCCAAACTTTTTGTATTCATTCCAATGTTGTTTTTTGTTTATAGGATCGATTATCGTTTTTCCCTTTATCGCGACCGAAACAGATTGCCTACGCTGTTATCCTGCCTTCGGATTCACATATGTTATCTGACTCAACTCGTAGTGTCCAAAACGGTTTGATTCCTGAAAGCACCGAAATGAACTCAGTTTCTTCATCGTCATCAACTTCGATGATACTTTCTCTTATCGAATTTCTAAAAGAATTATCACATACTTATGAAAATTGCCATCTTGGTCAGCATTTTCCTTACTACATGCCAGAGACAGGCTCTCCAAAAACAGCTTTTATCCCTGTCTTTCCTAATCCAGGTAAACTATTTATGATTTAAATTTGATAAATTGTTGTCAGTGTTTCTTGTCTTCTACTACCAAAATCGGTGATATAGGGAACAAAGGTTTACAGTGATATTGTTTTCCATTTATGTGATACAGTGCACAACAATGTTAAACCACTTAGTAACCGAGTTAAAAAGGGGATCATTTTTCACTGCGATAATAGTGTATGAAATTCAGAAGTCGTACTGATTTTCAACTTTATGCATATTTCGGTGTTAATTACGCCTTGTATTTGTATGTTTATTTATTTCATACAATGATTCAGGCACACTAGCATCCTAAAGTTGAAGCAAGTAATATAAGCAAGTATATATAACCTAAAGAATACTTTTTTTTACTGAAAATCAAAGTCCGTTTTTTATTGTTAATGATGTATGTATGTATGTATGTATGTGTGTGTGTATCAAAGTAGCATTTTCATAAAGCCCTCTCTGCATTCCGATCTGATGCAGAATATACTTTGTTTTCTAACATATATTGTAGAGCGTCTCTCATTATCAGAGTGTGATAGCTTTGGGAGTCTTCCACCAGACCTACTGAAAACACTTACTGAACAACTGGGAAATTATTCACTATGCGCAGAATCAATTCTGAGAGTCATTCATAATTATGCCTGCTGCTCTGTTCATTCCGCTGTAGCTGCATTAAAAAAACATGGTGTTGCTGTGGGTTTTTCCTCTCATATGCCAAATAATTCAGTGTTATTTCCAGCTTTTGATTCTACAAAGTCTGAAATTCCTGGTATTTCTATAAAAACTAGTCAGGACGATGATATTAAACCGGGCATCATCAACCGACATACTATCTCTAATAGAAAGGATAGTAACTTTTCAGTCCGTTACAACAATGGTCAAGGTTCCGTTACAACTTCCCTAGATACATCCTCCTGGGGAACTGAAAATGATATTTATTTGGTAATCTACATTCTGAATCCTTTCTCATATGTGAGTGGTACATTTTTTCATTGTCGATTCGGTCTTAACATTGTCAGTTTTTTGCTTTTTGATATGTAGTACTTAGGTTATAACGGTAATAACTGTATCCAAAATAATATTTTGAATATAAATAACAATACTCCATATGTAGTATGACAAAAAGCTTACTCGTTTTACCACATCTTTGAATGAAATGATGATGAAAACAGTGACGAAACAAAAATTTCATTTTCTTTCGTCTATTAGTATTGTTGCACAGTGAAACAGAACTATATACTGGATATAGTGTTTCGGACATAATTTTTGTCCATATTCATATCACCTGATATGGTAAATTATTTCCGAAACGTCATGCAGTAAATAATGCTGTCTCACTGTGTAACAATTCTAACAAACAGACTAAGATGGAATTGGAATCTACCTCTGTTCAAGTTTTACTCCCATATCGATGAAATAGAAATCGAGTGAAAATTTCTCTACAAACATTTCCTTATTCACATTTTATTTTTATTGAGCTAACTGTAGTTGATTTTCGTTTTGGACCGCACTACCGTCAAGTTGGATAAACTTGCTCCGTGTTCTGCCTGAAAACAAGCAGCGAAAACTAAGAAAAGATGTTCAGCATTTGATGAAATAACCGCAACTGGTTTCTTGCGTAAATTTTCATTCACATGAAAACTATTGTTTGAAGGGTTAAAAATGCACCACCAGCTCCCCGCACTGTTTTCAAAGATTTACAGTGCAGGAAAGAACGAAGAGGAACTAGCACAAAACAATAGCCAATAAACTGCAACTGTGGAAGCTGAACTATATCGGAAAGTCACAAACGTTTTATGCAGTATGCCAAACGAGAGCTTTAAGTATTAACATTTCGATATGATAGTAACTTCTATCACGTCATCATACTTCAAGCAGAATCCGGAAGGTCATGCGCTAAGGTAGCAAGTCACCTGCATTACAAAATAATGAAAAGGAGCAACTTGGTTTGTATATTTCCTCCCAAAAAAGTAAGGAAGCAATCAATTATCAACCCAATATTCAATAAGTATCGCAGGAAGAAGTATCTAGAGGCACAGACAATGTAGAAGTGCAGTTTAAAACGATTAACTAAATATACGTAACATCAAGTGTTCAAACGATCGTCCTGTAATTGTATATATTACGCTAACGTGAGCTTTCCTCAGCTAGTTTGCCCGACTTTTAAAGAGGCTGTTTCTTCTGATTGATTATGTTTGCTCCAACAACAAACGAGGGCCAACATGTTGCAGGAACAATGCAAACAAATATTGGTAACATCCTTTCTCACATAATTCTATGTGAGCAATAGCTTTACTTGTGACAAAACCTATAGTACACCAAGGAAATTTCACTGCAATAGACTAACAATGTGCTTCACAGAATCACCAAATTCACAGCGTTTCCTGCAGACACACTACCTGAGTAAGGTTTTCATATGCTAATGTGAAATGCATTCCTGATTAAGGATAAACCTTTCCTCTATATTGTGTCAAGTCGTATATCTTGATGAAAGTACAAGATTTACGTCCTATGTGAACGTGTAACTCGCTTATTAGTTTTAGAGGTATTTCGTCAAAGATTCCGTCTATGGCTCAAATGTTAAGTTTTGGATATCCGGCTAAAGTCATTAACTCTCATCCAACGGCTATGGCTAATCGAAATGGATGTAGTATTCACGTGCATATTCATGCATCGGGTTATGAACCGATACCTATTGTGTGAGGGCTGATAATACCATCTGTTTACCCAGAATTTTGTAGGTGGAGCGGATTTCGAGCCATAATCTCTAGTTCTAAGTCGAGTACCTAAACTCTTGAGCCACAGCTCTACTGTGTAGAATTTCATTTAACCTTCATACTTTTAAAAAATGAGTTTTTTGTCAATTGTAAACGTAGGCTAAATTCTGTTACATAATACTAATGTTTTTGTTGCATAAAAGTTTCCGTATCAGCATAAAATCTTTCATGTTTTTCACCATTCAATCTCGTTTTAGTTGTGTGATATAAGCACAGAGCTGAATCGACTTGTTATGCAGTCACTGGTTGGTTGTGCTAATCAGATATTGAATTCTTTACCAGAATCATGGCGGTCACGTGTTACCACTCAGCTACTATCTCTTGATCATGTTATGTCTGATTATTCACCTCGCTTGCGTCCTTTGGCCTTGGCACTGTACACATCTGTAAAGCGTTTTATCGAGCCTAGTCTGATAAATGCAAATCGTACATTAACTGGTTTAGGTCCAGCTGCTGAAAAAGAAACAATTTCAACTGAGAAAGATGTAAGTTTATGTGTATGATGGTTAGTAGTATTTTTCTTCGTGAAGTATAAATGTACCAGTGTGATTGTATTAGCAGAAGTTTAATTTGGGCTTGAATTTTTGAGTCGAAAAGCATCTAATCACACCAGTTATAACTTTCAGAACGTTTTCTGAAGTCTAAATGTACTATTTTTTGTTCTTTCACAGTATTTATATTTTCTTGTAGAGCAACTATAATTGATTTTAAAGAAAAAGTGTCTTCTTTTTCATATTGCATTGTGTATCAAGAGAACAGTTATTTATACCACAAGTATTAACTGAACAGCTATCTGTATTTATTGCATAAATCAATGCACCTTATGAGACTTAGAATTTGTTCGATAATAATATCTTTTATCTGGGTTGAATTTAGTTGGTTAGTCAGCTTTATTCACTAATTATTTAAATAGCTTTCATTTATTTGCCATTCTTTTGTGATCTCTCACTCTCCACTCTTCTTCCTCCGTGAGAGTAGATCACAAACACCACACGTGTGCTGTTTATAAAATATTTCACGTGTCTACACACTGATGTAGTAGACAATTGTATATATATATATATATATATATAGTAATACAATAGTCATTGTTTAAAGTAAACTGTCCGTGCATAGTGCTACAAGTATATGTACACACACGTAGAAGCAAACTTTCTTTGCCTCTATGAAGAGCAAAATAAACACCGAGTTAGAACGTTGTTATTTACTTTCATCCATAGTCTTTTCTACTAATCAGATTAATTATTTGTATATTTTTGCTTCATGCACTGGTCTCTAACTCTGATTTATTCAATAACTAGGGAATCAATATTATATCAGTAGATAATAAATTTTATTTTAACACGCATGACCTAGTAATTTACGAAACACTAAATATACAATATATTACAAAATGAGTAAATCTTTTGCTGTCCAGAAATGCACTAGTCTTTTATCCAATTAGCATACTTCTTTAATAGCTCACAGGGTGATTGAATGACTGCAGTCGTTTAACACCATACTTAGCAGTGTATTCGGTTTATGCTATTACTGTTTACAAACATCAAATCGAAGCGAAAATGCCCATGATGACATCCAAAACAAATAAAATAACTGACAACTCTAAGTTAATTGATTTCGACCGATAGATACTATGACCTGTAAATTATTTTAAACCGATTTATGTAATTGTATTTATATAGAAATTTTCTCTGAAGAGAATTGTCTTACCATTTGATACTAGTGATTTACGGTTGTCCGAAAATTGCATTTTAAACTTGAGTTTTCGCAGGAATATTCTTTTTTCACCAAACTGTTTTTTTGGCCTATTATGAGAACTTCCAAATGCCTGAGATGAAATGTATTGATAAAAATAAAGGGACATGTGAATTATCGAAACAAACTGACAACTAAGGCCTCCAGAAATTTTTCTTAATGGCCTGGACATTGAAAGCAACTGGTAGATATCGTGCCGTATTTATCAGATTTTCAGCAACCGAGAAGTTATAATCCATACTAAATAATTATCACAGCTTGAACTCTTACACCACTATGAAACTAAATCCATTGTGGACATTCACTGACATACGTAACTAGGTACAGAGAACCGCATTTCATAATGAATTTCGTAAGCATATACTCCCCTACAACTCCAATACTGGTATTCATTACCGTCACCGTCGAATGCTTCGTTGGGAGTAAAAGTTTCATTACTTTGAATATATCTGGTGCCAAACATTATGTACGGAAAAAATACTATAAACTTTCCTGGTATATTCAGTCGTTGTTTATCGGTTTATCATATTTCGTTTCACGGTGAGTATATAAATATAGAATGAATTTCAGCTTAGTTTGTGCTAACATCGTTATTTTACTTTTTTTCTGTCCAGAGCTTCCATAGACGAACAATTTTCGCTCCTCCATATACACTTTTCAATTCTCGCGATATACCTGGCCATTTAGATATTTCATCTGAACCACTCGATCGGTCCTCCGTTTTATTTGTAGCATACTGTCTTTCACAGGATCAGCAATGGCTTCTTGCTACTTTTACAGATGAGCAAGGTGGTCTGTTAGATCATACTTTGATAAATATTCGTGTTCCGGCAAGATATTTTTCTGAAAATGAAAGTCAACGCTTTCAGTCGACAGGATCGGATAAGTGTATCTTAAGCCCTCGTCGTATTGGGCTTGCACGACTTTGGGATTATATTATTAATCTTATTGGTCAAACTTCCAATCCTTGGCGTCTTGTAGTAGGAAGGATCGGCAGGTTGGGACATGGGGAACTGAAAGGTAATTCTTTCATGTACATAGTACGTTTTCTTTTCTAATCAGTACTTAATGCAACGTTTTTATGTAGAATTACTTTCTTACTTTAAATATTACACAGTTACATGTTACCTCAACAATAATTTCTTTGTAAATAATGCATTCTTATGGACAAGAGTTCTAAGGCATTGCAGCGGTTAAAGATTGTTGAGAATTTTTCAAAAAATACTGGAGTCGTATATGACTTGTCGTTTCTAGGGAGGCAGTTAAAAAAGTGGCATGATGCCGTTTTATGGTATTGAAAATTACTTAATTGCAGAACTCACTAAAAAATGCCTTTACGTTCAAGTGCAGCGTCAGTGATTTTCAACCATTCTGGGCACCAATGAAATCATATCACACTTGTAACGGAAATTTTATTACACCAGATATACAACTACGTAATCATTCTTTCGATTCAGTTTAACAGTTCCCGAAAGTATCCATCCATTAACTGAAGTTTCATGTTACCTGTGATAAATTCTTAGATATATATACCCCAAATACTATTTATTTTCTGAGCGTTCGCCGTTAATTTTGATAGGTCTACGAGTTTTTTAATTTTCGCTTGGTTCTCAAGCAGTAATTCACGCTTTTAAACTTCACTACATGTAATATGGTTTAGGCACCTGATTGTTTCTTCCTCAAAGTGTTTAATCAGTCGTCTTGTCAACAAAACTATACATGATTTGAGTTGCTCTAATTTTTACCATTTTTGCTGTAGTTTGAAACGAACGTATTATTACTTAGACCATAAAGTCGTTTCGATTCAACCAACACCAGTCGGTTACGATTTTTATCATTGACTGATCACCGTATGAAAAATCATTGGTTCAGGATGTGGTGATTGATACCGGAGCGACTCATCTCAGATGAACAGATATCAGTATGTGGTAGCATTTCTCTCAAACAATTGAAATTGCCATACATCGCACGAAGTTCTCGGGTAATAAGAGGGAAAAATGTAGGGACAAGGTAACAAAAAAAAGAAGCGACAAATAAGATTTAAAGTCATATACTACTACAACTTAAGTAATGATATGGTACAAGCACATTTGTCCAATTGATTGTCCATTGATCCAATTCACAGCTACATTATCTGTAATCTACTATACGTCTTCGTTGTCTTCTGTATTGTTGAAGATGATCGAACAGAAATGAAATATGATCGACAGTTTTTCATTTAAGTGGTTTTGTTATGTAAATTCATACTGAATGGTTGTCTCCAAAGTACTGAGGTCATAAAATGACCAGCTTGTATGAAAGTAAATCGCTCCTGGCATATAATCAAGTGGCGCCAAGAGATTTGACGCTAGTCATTCTATGTTCGATACAGTGTTGTCAGATCGTGCGTAGAAGGCAGAAGTTTTTTAACTGAGTTCTATACTCACAGAATAGATAATCTTATACTATCAGTAGTTTACGTACCTTAATAACTTCTTCATTTTTTGTTAAATGCTTTTAGGTTGGAATGGACTGCTAGGTCGTAAGAGCCTTCAAGATGTAAACAAGTTTTTCCGAGATCGTTGTTCTTCTTGCAGTATATCTTCTTGCGTCCCTTCACATTCAGCCAGTAATTCCTCTGTAATTAACGGTTCCAAACCTATGTTGAATCTAGTTAACAGTCATAGTGGAGCAAACAGTTGTACCCATGAACTTCCGAGTCTAATCAGTGCTTGTCTTGTGTCTCTTGAGCCTCAAAGCACATTCCGTGTTTATCCTGGTTTCAGTTTGTGTTCAGATGAACCATGGACGTATGGAGGAGGCGGAGGAGGTGGTGGTGCGGGCGGTGGTGGATCAGGAAACACCGGTAGTGCTGGTGGAAGTGGAGGTCTTAATAACGGTGTTAACAATTCATTTTATGGAGCTAATGCATCACCAGTTGTGATGAGAATGATGTCGATGTTGGATACCCCAACAGCATCTACAGAAAATCCTAGTGCGACTCATATATTGGTGTTTCCCACCAGTACTTCAGCGAGTGGCGTATCTGTAAGTTTGCTTTGATATACTTATCTGTTTTGTGACACATGATCATGTAGTTCTTATTTCAATTTGTAAATCGTCATTGTTGCTTGAATTTTAGGAGTAACTGCTATGTGTTAAATATAACTTGTCTGTGTTCTGGAATTTAAATAATTATTCTTAATTTTTAGCAAAGTTTTTCAGCATTAGAACTGTAGATATTGTAGATGCTTCGTTTCTAACATTCTTTACCCTTCCGTTTTCCGTATATCTTCATAAACCTATTATAAGGTTTTGTGTAGCGCATTTTTTCATTCTCTTGCGGTACTACGTACTTTAGTCTGAAACAGTACTCAAAATTATTGTGCAGTAGTTAACTCAAATACAGACTTCATGCATATTTGACTTCATTTGCCTTTCAATAGAGTGGCATGATTAATTTTTAAAAACCACAGTAAAACTCACTTCTTAGTTTTTACCTTCATTTAGTGTCATTGTAGTACCTAGAATTACTACATAACAGTCCAAGTAACCTCGCACCAACACCACAAGGCGAAAAAATTATCCAAAAAGGTAACCAATTTGGCATGACTGAAATTGATTGTCGACCATTTCACTTACCGTTTTCAACAACCTTTGTTATCTTCGAGGTTTTGAATATTTCCCTTGACCTGTTTTCCCAACTCTCATACACTTTTGCCTACCTCAATATCACCTTTTTTCTATCCACTTGTTTTCTGCATACTCCTGTGAAGCGTGACAACTTGGACTAATGCACTTTTGTGCCTTGCTTTAAGTTGATTTGTCTGTTTCTCAATGAAGTTATTGCCATCACAAAGCATTATCAGATGCATGGTTTACTTGGTTAAGAAGCTTTCAGACAACGGGGACTGACGTACCAATCAGAAAGGAAAGAAAACTGACTAGAAAATGTGACTGAACTAATCAGGATTACTGAAACTGAAAGTAGAATGAACTGTTGATTGGTGAGAAATTTGACGCACATCAAATAACTTTACATCAAGGCAACTGATGCTGATAGTTGTATGTGTAGTGTAAACAGGGAAATCGTGAGATATGTTGCAAGGGATTGAAGCAAACACTGTGTCTGACAATTAAATACTTGTTGGGAGTGGAAACTACTGCACAATGTATGATTTGTTCCACTACGCGGGGAAGACATGAATGACCCTTGGGAATGGAATACACAACTATATTTCCTATCACTGATCCATTTGAAGTGATTTAAGAAATCGATGAAACCATTGACTCATATACTGAGGTGAGGTGGAAAGTGGCAGGCAAGCAAAGTCAATTGTTATGTTTGTGGATGTTTATCCGCTGTCCAAACGGTGGATTAATAATTCAGTGATTATGATCAATACAGGATGGATGTGTACCACAGTGATAGATTGACTCTTAATCATGTCACCTGGTCACCAACCATCGACGTTAGTTGTCACGTGAACCTCAACCTAAAGTCTAGATTTCTGTACGCAGCTCAAACGAATAGTGAAAAACCCGATCATCTGATGTGACGATTTAACCTCTATGGAGTTTAACTATTTCAACTGATATTATGTGTCAAGGTAGACGATGACTAAGCCTGTGTGACCTGTCCCGACCACTTGAATGAGTGAACGTTCGCATCGTCTTCTACCTAATGACTCTGCGTAACCCCCTACATCACTAAGCTGGTGGTTCTTGAGACGAAAGTGATGAGAGAAGACTTCTCGTCTTGTAACTTAAATAGCTATGTTTAACAGCCACGTAGTAGAAAGTGGGGAACTTCTGCACAGTTCACTCGATAGTTTGTTTAAAATGAAAATTTAGGTCACATTAGATGATCAAATATCTCGCCAGTATCAAGGTTGGTGCAACTTCACAGTTTCATGCAGTGATTAGCACGTTCAAACTACTTGCTTTCCATGGCCAGATATTTTAATTCTGCTGATGGAAAGATGTAATGGTACTTATGAAGTCTCAGACTTTTGACACGTAAATAAACGTTTTACATATTATCAACAGGTTTCATTTGGTATTCAATTTAAAAGAGGCAACACTTTGATATTTGGTTTCAGGTTGGTGTTTTATAGCTTGGTCTACTTTAGTTTTGATTGAAAAGAATAAGTTACAATACGGCATTAGGTGTAGGTATGCTGAAATTTCTTTTCTATCGTAGGTCGGGCCAATAGTGCAGTGAAGCATTTTACATTGTTGCAGATCTTTAAAATACAGCATTTTGAAATGATTCCTAGTGTCATTCATCGTCTTTTTGATGGAGATTTTTCTCTTGGAAAGTCTCTTCTGTGACAATGTTCTATATTGTGTATTTATCGCAATCAACAGATTCATGCACTGTTTGTAAATGTCTGTTACATGTAATGCGTTAATTTATTTCAGTCAATGACTCTGACCAGAGTGTACGCCAATCTATTGGCTTCTTTGGTAATTCACTTTCGTCGGAGATACTTTTGTCTATTTCAATGTCACTGTATATTATCCCTCTTTTTTGTTAGCTGATGTCGAATTCGACATTTAAACCGTTATTTTTTCTGTCTAGCGTTTACGCTGACTGTCATAACCGGTTCTCAAAGTAGTTATTTCAAAACATACTGTCAGTTCGTAGGCGTATAAATTTCTATACCTTGACCGAATTCGTGAATTGGTAGGGAAGTAGATTTTTAGGGTGTTGCAGCGGTCACTAGTTGAACATCATAACTGATGTAGCTTGACGCAAAGATGCGAATATGTATTTTGTCGGTTTAGAATCATTCACTTCTTTTTCTTGTATCATTTCTGAACGTAGGAAATTAAACTTATGTACTATTTTACGAGTTGCATACACAGGTTGCAATGCATTTGTATACATCTAATATTCTAATTAAAGCATTTCCTCCTGTTCACGATAGTATTTATAAAGCTCTCAGTGCTATATGCTAACCTTGTCTGTTTCAATATATCTGTTATTTGCAGGAACACGAACCTTCAGGATTAGCAGAAGTCATTTATGGAATGGGTTCTGATGACATGGGTGTATTTGATTGGCTTCTTCCCAATGATCCCGGTCTTGACGATCTCGTTCCTCCAAACGGTTCAACAGCAGAAATGTTGGCTGATTTTGGTAACCCATCAGAGTTGAATTTTGGTCTTTCAGATTTGGGACCACCAGTCTGCGTCAATGGTATTGGGGATGGTACTGGGAAATCTAATACAAGAATGGGTGATGCTGCTGATGGTTTACACGGACAGAACGACTATGTTAGTAGTCTCCATGATAATCGGGTGCATGGTCGCTTGTCAGATGTCATTGGTTTGCGTGGACTTGAATCTGGACTACTGGATATTGGTCCAAACCAACCCAATGATACTGGAGTTTATTCGGATGAACATTCCTTTGGACGTTCCCTGAATCCGCTCAACACAATGCCTTTTGGAATACATGACCCTACTGTGAGTTAGCACCTCTTTTTTAGCATGTACTAATTATTTTTAACAGGAAAAAGTAGAGGTTTTTATAATATTATTCAGGCGTAAATAAACGATTATGCATTATTTAGAAATGTTGACACTTTGGGGAACCTGGTTCAGAGCCGACGATGTGTCTTTTTTCAAGATTCTTTGTTCTGAAAGTCTTTGGTTTGAATTCATCATCAACCTTTTAATTGGAGTCTTCTAAGCGGAACACGTTTCTCCCTCACGTAGAGCTATCAACTGCGTTGTATATCCTCGCTAATCTGCATCAAAATTCGATCGCTGTAATCACAAACAGTTGCCTTAACAGTGACTCATTTAGGACTTTATGATGATGTTTTCGTGGTGTTTTATTTTCCTGTGGATCGGGTCAAGTTAGATGCATGTATTATGCTGTTTATGTAAGTCAAGAATAGAAACTGAGCTGATCGGATACTAAACTGGAAATCCGAATGCTGATGATTAGTATTGACCTTTAACCTGAACTCCTAAGACATATTTAAATCATTTGAGTTGGCTTACGCAATCGAACCAATAATTTGTGATGTTTTGCTAACTTAAATATTGGATTAACAAGCAATCAATATGTATTTCTTATGTACATATCAGTCATGATCTGTTTATTTTAGTCAGCATTGTAATTATAAAAAGTCGATCAGTAATTTATTTCTTTAATGCTTATTTAATTCAATATCGTAACTTGTATTTTCCAATTTGTTCATTCAATCTTTTCGCTACTTTACAATTATGCACAGGATGAAGTGGCAAGTTTAATGCAACAACCGTTAGCGATGGGATATTACATCTCTACAGCTCCTGCTGGTCCATTGCCTACATGGTTTTGGATTGCTTGTCCACATTCTAAATTCCAATACCCAGTATGTCTAAAGTCTGCCTTACATTTACAGACCACATTGGTTGGTGTCGATGACGCTGCGGCCGCGGCTGCAGCTCCCCCACCAAGTGCAAGTTCAGCTGGTCCAGGAGTGGGACCATCATCAAATCGTCCGGGTCATCTTCTAGATTCAAACAGTACATGTGACGTATTAAGATATGTTTTGGAAACGTACAATGCTTTATCATGGCTAACCATCGATCCGACAACAAATGATCGTAGAACATGTCTGCCTATTCACATACTTTCCTTATCACAAATTTATCAGGCTTTTGAAGCATTCACCTGATTTAATTACATGTGTGTAATTTATTTGTAGATAATGAAGTTAAGTGGCAGCTTGTAATATGCTAATAAATCTTTCAAGAAAATCTAATGATATCTTCATCCTATTCTCTTCTTTCCTCTTTTCTTGCCAGTTGTAAATGCGCTGTTATTCCACCAGGGTATATATTGTTTCCTAATGATAATGATGGTAGTAGTATTCTCAGTACCCTGTTATTGATTAACTCAACAGTTATCTAATGTTAACCTATGTGATTTTTTGTACAGACTAGTATTTTTATTCCTGGACAATCCTGTCGCACTTGTATAGATATTTTTTAACAGACAAATTAATTATTAGGATCTTTTGTTCTATTCTGTTGTCTCTTCCTTTTACTGGTGATGAAGAATGTAAAAATTGCTTGCTGGCTGTGTGCGTGGAATCACTTACCTTTTTTGTTTCACTTGTTAGCTTTTCTTTTTCAGTGTAGACATATCTGCATTTCATACTTTATCATTTTGATGATTTTTCCTGAAGTGTGTATGAATGTGCAGTTGTGTGCATTCCATTCAATGACAGAAGGCATTGGTTAGTCCATTGTCTGTTTGTACTCTGGGAAGTCGTTATTATCTCCTGTTTTCCGCTGTTTACAAGCCGAAATAAATATTTGTTTAAAAAGCTTTCGTTTGTATGTATCTCTACATATTACGTTGTAAACCTGTTCATAGTTCGTTGTTGTCGTTGTAGTTAGTTAACTGATATCGTTTATTGAGATTTGACAATTATAATTGTGTGATTTATTATACTTTTATTAGTATACATCTATACATGTTCAGCTAGATTTCTGGTTAGTCACCTGTTTGTGTGCCTTCTTTTTAATCGTGAAAAATGTGTGATGTTTTTACTGTTCTTCTCTCGTCTCCATCCCTGCTTTTTTTTATTTTACTTCTTTTCTCACTTCCTTTGTTAACTCCTCCCAGAAGCCGACAGCTACAAAAACCACAACTTTATTGTCTCCATATTTCACTCATTTACTGCATTGTTGATCGATATTGATTGTACATGTATATAAATACGATATTCTTTACTTAGTAATAATTAATTTTAGGTAATTCCGATTGGATTGTTATCTGTGAGTTTTTTTGAGTCTAATATTTATTCATTTATGGTAAAATCTTTCCAACAGCTATAGCAAGCATCATTTACCATTATCGATTGGAATAGTTAGGCAGCTACCATCACTTTCAAGTTTATTTGACGCTGGTGATGTTGCTGTGACCAGCTTTTTGGATGATGTGGGTGACTTATTGAGATACTTCCTAACCAGTAGAATCATGAGGATCTTCCCATAACCTATCTTCATGCAGAAGAAGTATAACATTGCAGTTCATTTACCCAGTACAAGCTTATTTGTGAGGGTTTATTGTTCTAAACAGCCTGAAATACATGAGTCGGTAACCTTTTGCTTTAAAGTTGACTACCCGAACTACTAAGTATGGTTTATTGAGAAAGTCTTCAAAAGGTAATTAATATTGATGGGCTGTGGTTAACAGTAAAGACCACAATACCTATTACTCTGCTTTTCCACCTCGTTAAGTGGGGTCAGCAATAAATTATGTCCAAATACAATTAAAACATTTGTAAAACAAGTTGGTACGTTAATTTTTAAAAAGAGTGGTCTAATAATCGTTAAAATCGTGTTTCAGTAACTTTGGTAATGGAATACTGGTAACTTCCAACAATCGCGTATTTTAGCGTCTATCTAGGTTCTGTTCAAGCTTTTTATTAGTAGGTTTATTATTACTATACACACTAAGACCCTGGTTTCTTAGTTTCAAGTGGAGGATTCTAAGAAACTACAGTTATCCTCCTGTATTCCAAGTGAAATGTTACTGAATCAAACCTGAAAAAGTATAATGATGCTTTTATTCAATCTTAATTTAGTGCATGAAGCGTTTATCAAGAAAGCCTTCGTCTAAAACCTGAACCGATCCAAGAGTGATAGCAACTCTACTCCGCTTTGAAATGGTCAACTGCATGTTGAAGTGAAATCGAATCATCCAAATAACTAAGTTATTACAATGATAGGCTTGGTTTTCGTCACTTTTCTGTGGTTTAAGGATTGAATTAGGTTAAAGATAAACGAAGAGTATCCCCATTAGATCTCTGAATTATTCAGCATCAAACTTCTAAATAGCTACATGATGTAATGATGCAAATCAAAGAATCTAAACTGTCACAGCACATTCATCTTGTGGGTAATTGCTAGAAAACTTTCTCGCAATGAACTTAACAAATATCGGACAAGTTTGTCCTAGGATGCCAGTTAATGGAACTAGTTTTTCTCAAAAGATAATTGACTACCTATTGTACACAACAAGATATTCCAAATCAGAGCAGTGGAACATTTGACAGCGAAGTTAGTGATTCTAGGTCCTTTACCAACATAAATTGAAGAAGCTCTGTTGATAAGTTCCGAACCCAGTTCGGCTGTAAAGACATAGTAATCTCAGATCGAGAAGACAACTCACAACTCAAATCAGACAGCGCTATGCCGTTGGATAATGTAGAACGTACTGTCTGGTCAATTTTTTAATATTCTACCCAAGATGTGGTTTGATGATTCATATTTTGGTGTTTGTAAAACAAAAATAAGGTTTGTGGCGTTTGGTGATTTCCTTTTTGAGGTTGTACTCATCACAGTTGGAGAATCATTGAAAACCTGGGAGGACTTGACAGTTGCTTCGTCATAACATGGTACTGCTCAGCAAGACACCCACGACCTTGCTTGAGATCGAACTCAAAACCTTCAGGTTGCATGGCGAACACGTTAACTACTCATGAAACTGTGAACTACTGGACTTCAAGCGAGTGGCTAAATAGTTAACACATTCACGGTGAAGCATGAAGGTTCGGCGTCCGATCCATAGTGAGGTAGTGGTTACCTACTGTTGAGGAGCCCAATAACAGGACGTAACAGGTGTCCGGTGCTCTCAGAGTTTCAGTGACTTCAACTGACGTTAGTCTGTGAGGAATACAACCTTAAGAATAAGATTGTTTTTTTTTGGCTTTTCCCAGAAAAAATGTCAGTGAAGTAATGTTAGGCGAGAACATAGCTAATGAAGATTGATTGTAAGGGAATTCCTAGATTTGTATTTCAAGGAAAACCATTAACAAAGAGAATATATCCTTTCCACTAAGTGTATTATTCTTGATACGATTGTATGAAAAGTTACCATTGAAAACAGTGGATTGAATCATGGATGATGATTTCATTGATCGAAAAGTAGGCTAATTCAAGTTATACTTGGTGTTTCCAGATCTTATCGATGCATTACGTTTAGTACTAGTGAGTCTACATCAATCATTCACACTCCAAATTATTCCTTATTCTCGATTGCTCAATAACAGTTCGTCAACGTTAACAGTGGTGTGTTTGTTTGCATAAAGACACTCATCAAACCTATTTCTTTAGTTCACCTTCATGTCACATGTTTAATGTATTCTATCAAACATCATAACGTTATTTTCGTAACAAACAGAAAAGCAGCATTCCAGTGGTAAAAATTTATTGGCTGCTTACACACCTGAATACTTTTGGCTGACTATTAGCTGTGTGATATACTTTGTATCTCAGTCATCACTGTTCCATTGTCTTACTTTCTGGATAACTATAGAAAAAATGCACTCGGTTTGTTAGCCAAAAGTTTGGTCTTTCACCATACAACTAACTGAACCTTGCCTAGGATTGGTGTTACATCATAATAGGTCAGTGGTGTTCAATTTGTCAGTAAATGATCCAGTTCGACCGCTAGAATAGTGTGTAGTCAACCTAGACGTGCTATTTTTTATTTAAGTGAACAGTTATTCACCTTAATATAGCTGGGTTTTTGCATGATTGACTATGATCCATTCAGTTACTGTTTTGAACCGACAATCCTTTCAGTATTCAGGTTTATATATAAGATTTTCAGTACAAATCCCAGTGTATAAAGCTGAAACCCTATCCTCTGTTTAGTGATTATATTGTTATTACTGATGCTGTGTGGACTGAATGTGTGTTCGCCTTAAAAATTTCTAATCCAATTTTAGCATATCGCTAAATATAAATTCACACCATTAAAAGAAATCAATTTCCAGTTCACCAGGTTGAAATAAGACTATTCTACAAAATCTTCTCATGTTTTGCTCTGCTAGTTTCGTAACTAAATAGACTGATAAAAAGTCGTTCTTAGTAAAAATAAGCTCCCAAATTCGCTTGGCTTGCATTTTGACTTCACTGTCAACACAGAAGTCGTCACCAGTTATACCTCAATACCCTTGAATGGATAAAACTAATTATATACACATACCTAGACTATACACTGTAATCTAAGTCTTTTAAATCAAAACAATGATTAAAGCATAAAAAATGAAAGACCAAAAGGGGATTAAAATGAATAACACCTACCTACTACTCATCCATTTATAAGTAGATAAATGAAGGAGTCAGTTATTCGTTTAGAACAGCAAGCAATTAGTGTGTTTCTTAATATATATTTTTTAAAATTATACATTATAATAACCTTTGATGAAAGCTCGTCGTTTAAAACATCCTGAAACAATGATGTTAAAGATTAGTTCCTTTCATTCCATCAAATAAACCAATATATTATTGTAATTTGTTTGGTCGTGGCTAGCAGAAGAATGCAGGACATGCGTTTCGTCCTATTTTGGACTCGTCAGCTGGATGTACCTGCACTTCAGTGAGTGATGTCGTCCCCACTGAGACTCGAACCTCCTACCCATCACTTCAAATCAAACGTATCACCATAATTAACATTCAAGCAATATCGAGGCATCCGTGTAGGAGTCCGTATGCCAATAGAAGTCGAACAATTCGATCCAATAAAACTACGGAGAATTAAAAGTATGTCGATAAATAGTAACAATATATTGTGACTTGGATTTTCCAGACGATTTTCCCTCTCACATTACTAATCTCAACTAAGCGTAGTTTGAAAAGAGTACCTATGTATAGTAGTTTTCCGTTCGTAGATGAATAAATCGGAGAATCCCTCAACCCCTAAAAGAACTGCGCTTTTATTTCAGGACTATTTAATGCTCTATCTGTTGATGTTTTTTTAATCAAGAATCGAAGAGCTTTTATACGTCAGTGAAACACCGTTTACGTTATAAGGTTAAAATGACTAATCAGTGTATGTAATCGTGTTCTACAGGAGGCCAGTCCCTGCCCGAATAGCCCAGTGTGAACGTCTCTGACCGTGACACTGGGTGACGAGTTCGAATCTCAGATGAGAAAGTAATTTCGTCGAGGCTGCAGATACGCCTTGCTGACAAGTGCTAAGAAGTACGAAACTTAGATCAAGCCGAGCTTCATGCATATCGCCTCTAATCCACTAACATCTATCAAATTGCACCGCAATGGTGAGTCTCCTAGGGTGATGACCACATTGCACAATTATCAATAGAATTCGATCAGCATATGAAGTCGGTTACCCTCCAGTGACCAATCAATGTGACATTGTTTACTCCTATAGGTTCTATTCAACTGCACAGACACTTCCCAACAGACTTTAATCAACGAATAAGCAAAAAAAATAGATGAATACACTTTACATGTAAAAGTTAGGTGAGTTCAATTCAATATTTCGGTTTCCAAGGTAACAGATACAGAATACGATTTAGAGATTTGTGGGGATTTATTTATCATTTCTCAGTTGGAATTCATCAAGGACTGACATCAGTTAGAGAACCACTGAAAACCTGGTAGCACTGGACAACTTTTCCGTCCGGGTTTGAAACTCATCATACATCTGGGACAGAGCAACAGTCCAGTGCTTCCCGGTTTTCAGTGGTTCTCCAAATGATGTCAGTCTGGGATGAATACTAACTGGAAATACAGAATGATGACCGACAAATAAGGATCACATGATATTAGGTCAAGATTAAAATTAATTCATTTTTATTCCCAAAGGTGAAAAACATTGTTACTCTAAAGACCATCCTAACAAACACAGTAATAACCATCAATTAGGTTTTTCTATTTCGGCTAGAAATGTAGTTTTTTCATAATATAGATGAAACTAACTGACCATCTTAGTAGCTGTCCGGGTGGTATTTAGAGCTAAAAAATGTTCTACAATGCATAGGAAAACATAAGAAGTGTAGGGGAAACGAAGTTTATTTGAAATAACTAGGCAATCACGTGAAAATTTGCTCAGGTCAAAAGGACAAGTGAATTAGGAGAATGCTTTTTGAAGACAATAATGTTTAAATCAATAATAAGATTGGGATCATTAGGCAGATGTCATGAAAAGAGTAAAATTTCAACTAAGCTTTTTAAACATTATCTGAGTAACAGAAATTTGGTGACTCTCTCTTGTTGACAAGAAAATTTAGGCCGAGTTTTTCTGATTGTACTAACTTCCACAAATCAAAACACCAGGGAACCTTTGTTTGTTTTAGATTCTCAAAACTCTAAGTCTATTGGTGAGATCATGGCCATTGATTTTGCTTAAAATGTTAACAAATGAAGAAGCTTATCATTGTGTGCAAACTTGTCATTGCAAAATTTGTTTATGATACACTTAGTTAAACCTGTTTGTTGCCCTATGTCTACAGCATGAGGAGTTATAGCGTTATCAAAAGGTCTTAAGCT